TGCTAATAAATGCTTTGCCATGGAAATGTTGACTATGACGAACAGTTAATTGACTATGCGCAATTTATGTCATTCAATAGGGAAGTTAAAGCTTGAGTGTCATTCCGATTGAATAAATTCTCACAATATTTCGTGTTTTGTACTGATTTGTAAAATATGGATAAATTCTTATTTTTTATTGCCCGGATGCCTTGTTTAAAATAATAATGAATATTTTCCTTTTTCATTTTTGATTTTTTCATTTCTCGTTTTTTTTAGATTATAGAGTCCTAATTAAGAATCCAAGGTTTCTGACGATTATCACAAAGGCGAAAATTAGGTGCAAATATCAGAAACCCAATTTAAAAAAAATCATTTACAGGGTGTCATTTAAGTTCCCGCACAAAAGTTTGACGTCATGAAGAGCTTGGCTGTCGCACTTTTCGTGAAACAATACAATTTATTTTTGTTAAATAAGGTATATTTTACTTATTTTCCAAGTTTCACTTCATTCGGATGTGTTTCCGAGAAATGACGAAGGCTAACATCCATCGCGCTTCCATTATCGAACTTCATAAGCAAAATGTGAGCCCGAGAGCCATCATTCAACGCCTCGGTGTGCCTCGTAGAACGCTTTACGACACCTTCAAACGTTTCAAGGAGCTAAATACGACCAGTGACCGTCTCAGACAAGGAAGACCCGTCTCGGTAACCACTCCTCAGAAGATCAACGCCGTCAAATCGAGGATCAGGCGAAACCCACACAGGAGCATGAGAAAGATGGCGTCAGACATGGGAATGAGCATCTTTGCTATGGAACAAATCGTCAAAACAAAGCTTGTACTGACCCCATATCGTGTCCAAAAAGCGGCAATTCTATCGGCCGTCAACAAGCAGAGACGCTTCGAAAAAGCAAAACAACTTCTTGCTCGCACGCAGTCTGGAGAACATCTCGTCACTGTCTTCTCCGACGAGAAGCTATTCACTATGGAGACGGCATTCTACTCACAAAACCATTGAGTACTTGCCCAGACATCCCAGCAAGCTTCTGAGAAAGGAAGAACAATTCATCGAGCCTCACATCCTGCCAGTGTGATGGTTTTCGGTGCCATCTGCTCAACCGGGAGGTGCCCCCTGGATTTCGTGGATCAGGGGGTGAAAATGAACAAAGAAGTCTACGTTTGGGACATTTTAAAGAAGCATGTGATGCCCTGGACTCAAACGCATTTCGGTGGGCAGAAATGGGTCTTTCAACAGGACGGAGCAGCCGCCCACACTGCCAAAACTACTCAGGAGTGGTGCCAGACCCATTTTCCCGACTTTATCAAGTCATCCGAATGGACTGATTGCTCCCCAGACCTGAATCAGCTTGACTTTTCCGTGATGGGGTCTTGCAGGAGAAGGTCAACGCAAAACCCCACTAAAGTGTAGAGGCTCTGAAGAAGACATTACTGGCGGCATGGCACAATCTTTCCATCGAATACCTGCGTACCACAGTCGCATCCTACCCGAAGCGTCTCTGTGAAGTCATAGCTCCGAAAGAAGGCCGAATCGAAAAGAGTTAATATAAAATTATTTGTTATACTATAGATAAAAAATATTTCAAGTCTCGTTTGATTTGGACTTTTAGTCTCAAAAATATACGTCTTCAAAGTTGTGCGGGAACTTAAATGACACCCTGTATTATCAAAAGCTTGCAAATTTTATAAAACCCCATTCAAACATTTGCTAAACTCGACAAAATATTTTAATAAAATAAAAATAAAAATGAATTACCTTTTAACACGCATTTGATGTGAATCGAGAAGAAATTGATTGGGCAGAAGAAAAACGAGCGATGGCATCGATCTCCGACGAATTGGAAACATATGAAAACAATGCGAAGAATTAAAATTATTGTTGCGAATTCGGGAATAAATCGAGTTGAAACAAATAAATAAATAAACAAAAACATATGGAAAAGATTTGTCGAAAATCACGAGCACTTTATGAAGTTCATTGATTCAGTTTGTCGACAAAATATGTGCGGGTCGAAGTAAATGCTTGCGAGCTCTTCGTTTTGCTCGAAATTGGATCGCCGGAATGCATTCTTAGAATTATAACAAAAAATTGGATTGTGGTATATTAAATAAGAACATTGTGGAAAGGTCTTATAGCGATGATCAGAATGGGTCTCCCTTTTTATGATAATGTTTCACAATGTGGGATATTTCGTCTATAAGACCTAAAGTTTTCGAAAATTTAAAGTTTTTTTTTCAATTTTTGTTAAATATTTGATTTTAGCTTTGCAAAATCACTTCATACTCGTTTTCCAATAACGAAATTAATAGTAAAAAATTTTCTTTTCTATTCATCAACTGTACATCACTTTTTGGGGCTTATTCGAACGACTGAAGTATCAATGCAAAGAAAGAAGCAAAATCAAAACAATCAAGTGGAAAAAAGGTTTTTAATCTTTTTTTAAGTGTTTTTTTTAAATTTCATCCATCTACATTGATCAAGAAAACATTGGAAAAATGAGATTATTTGAAGCAATCAATTAATTTGGATAAAAATTGCATTGTTTGCGTGTCTCGGGTGCGAAAAAACGCATTCATTTAGTTAAACATGCTCGCCAGATGTCGCTCGGAATTCCCTTCAGTTTTTTTCGAACCAGAAGTCAAAATAACACACTCGAAGCTGTGTATTTATGTAGATGATATCGCGAATTGAATCGCAAATTCGAAATTGGACTTGCGCGCAACACTGTTCGGCACTTCTTCGACGCTGATGATATCATCGAAATAATTAATTTCATAGTTCGAGAACTATAAAGAAATGTGTGATGTCCTCTCGCTCAAAAAAATCAAAAAAAAAATTATTTATGCCATTTTTTAAATTAGAGTTCTCAATTAAACTGTTTCCAAGAGCAGAAAAGGTATATAAACAAAATGAGGTAAATAATCATTTTTTCGATTTATACTAATTAGATTTTTTTCAGCATTAATCTGTAAATGCATTTGAATGTCTGTCAATTTCTTTAATTAGATATTCAAATCCATTTCTGAATTTGAATGGTTGTGACTGAATTTCAGTTTTTTACAGGGGGAATCAGACAATACTGAACATGAAAAATTGGGAATCCAAATCCGTCCGAATGTCTCAATGTGTTCAAAATGCTCAAAAATGTCAATACCTAAACATAAGTGTTTTCATATTCTCATTTTCCTTCACAACTAATGTAATTTGAAGCAGTCACGTTGAAATCTGCCAATTTCGCTTTCATATGGCTTCGTTCGGCTGATGTCATTTAATACCGTAACCTTGAAAACACAATAAACCCCTCGTGTTTTTTTTTTCGGGAAATTTCTTATAAAACCGTTTTTTTTTCGGTCAAAAATTGAACCCTAAATTGTTGAGATTAACATCACGTCATTCGTTGCTTATCTTCATTCTCCGATGACAATAATCGAACCTTGGTCGTCCATCGAATAAGACAAAAATGAATGAATGATTGAAAGGGTTGAGATGCGTCGAGGCCGAATCCAGGATTGCCCAGAAGCAACCAACTACCGTACCCCTGACGATACAATTGTCTATCGAACATTTTCGTCATATGGCTTGATATATCAATGAAACAACGGTTTCTCTCATTGCAAAACCAATCAGCGTCAAGTCCAAAAAGCATTTTCGTCAGATTACGGTCACGATAAATACGGTAACTATTGGAATTTGACGAAGGCGATAAATAACCGGGAAATCACTCAGACTGGATCGTGCTGATTCCAATGTTCAACTTTTTCTCTTATTCTTTATGGCATCAAAGGGCAGATTTAATCAATATTTTTCATCAGATTTTTCAAGATTACAATACTGGAATCAAAACAATTTCTTTAAAAAAGATGCTGCGGACAATCTCGTTGGTGATTCCAGAAACTTCAAAAATGTATTCACAAATAGTCAATGAGGCAAATTTTTAAAATTAGAATAAATTGAGATTTTTTTGAATTAATGTAATCATAAATATTTAAACTGTTCTTGAAATATTCTAAAGATACTTTTTTAGTTTTTTTTTTAATTTGTGCCCGGAAAATAAGACTAAAGAAAACTATTCAACAGAACTCCCCCATCAACAAAATGCTAAACAATAGAATGCACAGAAGAACACTATGGCACATTGCTTCGGATATGCTCGCGATACCTACTCATGCTAATGAGATCATGAGTGAATAGATGCTGAATTACGTTCAAAGTTATCTCAGAAATCGCTAGAAAATTATGAAATCAAATGATAAATGTGAAAGGATCGTAATCGGGCTTAATTGTTTTCCAAACATAATCGTATTGATAGATTTTTCTGGATTTAGATTATTTCTTTAGCGAATCTAATTTCCCTTTTGCCTTCGAGAGAGTATAGCAAACAAATTTAACAAAACGTTGGAGGCCTCAAAAGATATTTTCTCACAAATCGGCATATTTGAGTTCAAAATTCAATTTTTTTTTAAGATTTTAAAATTAAAATGAATAAATTACGTTGCACGAATATTTTTTGATCGCGCACTCAAATCTTCGATCACAATTGAAAGCTAGTGTTTCGATAAAATCGATTTAGTTCTAAAATGTTCTAATTTGTATTTCAATTTGTTCTATCATCATCGTTAATGTTACAATATTCTCATTTTATTGCATCATTCTTTCTCATATATACATATATGTAAATACGTCACTGAACAGAGCGTAGATCAAATTCCTAAGTGTCTGTTGGCCCAATTACGGTACACATCTAGATTTGGTTGCCAAATGAGAACATTGAATTTCAATATCATCCGATTGGTTCGTTTCCATGTTTTCGATGGACCTTCGTCATCGAGGTCGGCACATGCGTCGACGGGCGAACATTGCGGAAAACACGCCTACATCAAAACATTGGCCAAAACAAAACAATAACGACGGGGGAATTTTTTTACACACGCCAACAATCGCTATATCAGTCCGCCGCCCTCGTCAATCGTCCCGTCGACGATCTCGCATATTCGGTAGCAATGATCGAACTAACACCACGCCGTCATGAGCTTCTCTCGGTATTCTTATTATCAATTGGAACCATCTTCATGTTTCTCGGCTACGATGTTTCGGCGATGATGGCCGAGAGTGTGCTTCATTCCGTGAGCACAAAACATCCGGATCGAATTTCGCCGTACGCTGGATACTATGGGTAATTCGGCTTCTTTAATTTCCATAACATTGCGATTAATTATAGCCAAGCTATCCACTACATCTCATTTGCATTCTTCTCATTGTTCTCAGCAACTCTGCAATACTACCTATCATCGAAGGCAATTCTGATCCTTTCATCAGTTCTGTTCACTACGTGCTATTTGTCATATATTCACATCAACACGTATTTCTTCTACTCGGCACAGTTACTCTTGGGTTTCGCGTATGCATGTGAGTTGATTGATTGATTAAAATATGATTGCAGTCACGACAATGGGGAGTAGAGATATTATAAAATATATGATACTCACGATTGATAATGCTGTGAATTTTTGATTTCAAACATTCCCTATCAAATGATGAAGCAACCCTTTAAAAAGTACAATACATTGTCGGCAATTCATCATATTTCAGGCTATAACAATGCTGAAGGAATGTACCTTTCGGAGCACTCCTCTCGTCGGACTATCGACTCAAACAGTGCTTTGGAAACGGGAATCGGACACTCAAGCCTTCTATTCGGAGGCATTACAATGCTTTTCGTGTTCCATTTTGTGCCGCACACATTTGATGGGCATTTTCTGAATTTCGATGAGAACATTGTGAAAGTGATCTATTTCTCGTTGATGGCACTTACCATGTTATCAGTGATACTTTTTGCACTTTTGCCCACGAAACAATACGATTCGATCGCGTTGACGACACCTCGCGTCAATCCCTCGATCAAGTCACAATTCAGTAGGTCGTTCTGAAGGATTCCGATGAATTCCTGAATTATTTTCAGAAAGATTTGGAAACACATTCACCCATCTGAATACCTGTTTGCTGGTATTTACCTATGTATACATGGGATGCATGGTCTCGTTCATGTATGGAATTTACCCAACATCTCTTTCATTCACCGCTTCAACGGCATCCGATGTCTACATCATTTCGATCTATCTTCTTTCATCCGGAGTTGCCGCATTCTTAAGTAAGGGTTTTCTTTGAAAATCGATTGATAAGCTCGTCTTGGTCACTTTGTGATGGTTTGATTTTCTGAACAAAATCATATCATTCAATTGCGAGGTTTTTTCTATATCCCCGTTGTTCAGGCGGAATGTTCATTCGCCCGATGATCAAGAAATTGCATAAATATAAGTTAATTGTGCCGATGACGATTCACACGACGGCAATGATCGCGGTTCTCGTGCTCACCTATCTCTCAGTTCCAAACACGGCGACAATGAAGCCAACGAACGAAGTGAATGTTGTTGTTAAGCCATGGTAAGCAGATATTTCTGGAATCTTCCGCGCGAACTTCGCCGGCACGTCTGATGACATGTAGTGATAAAAGATCAATGACGTTTATGGTCTGATCTGTTTCCGACCTTCAATGAGATTGAATTTTTTCGGAGGATTGCAAAATGAATTTATTTTTGTCCAAGTGACATCAAACCGCAAAGAACAACGTTTATAAATAAAAACTTTGGGCTAATGAATCACTTTCGCCGAAAGGTAGAAACATTCGTTAAACGAGCACTATGTGTAGATCAGTGAGTTTGATTCGAAGGTTATCCGTAGAATTCCCCCTTTTTAAAATTAAGGTTTGAATTACCGCCTAGAAAAAGCGCAATGGTCCAAAAATTATTTCATTAACCTAGTTTTTTGCGATGGTAATATAATTTTTTTAAATGCTTACTTTGCGATTAATAATAATACCTACAGTACCGCTCAAAAGTCTATCAACCTTTGGTTTTTTCTTTATTTCTCAAAGAGTACTGCACCGATCAACATGAATCTTTCAGAGATAATGTGAAATGGGGTTTAAAACATAATTCATGTCATTCGGTACACAAACACATATCCGCAAAGTCCATGACGCGATTTTACACACTTTCAGGTTTTTTGCGTTTTTCAACTTTTTTTTTTAATTTTAATTTTTTTAATTTTTCTAGAGTAGTTATCCGTTCATATCTTCTTATTCATGTTTTCAGAAATACCTAGAGCTTTTGGGAACAAAGACTTGACGGATAACGAGAAAAAAGCCATCGTGGCTGGTCGTCAAAGTGGACTTACTTTGAAAACGCTTGCCGGAATGTTCAATCGAACGAAAGGATGTATTTCCAAACTCTGTAAACGCTAGAAAGTTCAAAAAAATTTTTCTGTGCCTCATCGCTCCGGGAGACCACGAATTAATGATCGTAGTGAAGATAGAAATATTTTGCGGACGTCCAGAAACAATCCTAGACTCCCTGCCCCTGCAATCAGACGGGAAGTTTTCGTGAATTCTCCATCTCCACCATCCGTTTCGACTGTGAAACGTCGTCTCTGTGCTGCTGGGATTATGGGAAGACGTCCAGTGAAAAAACCCTTAATTTCTGAGAAGAATAGAATGGCCAGAGTGAAGTGGGCAAAGGAACACGTCGACTGGACAAGACAAGACTGGGATAAGATTTTGTGGTCCGACGAAAGCAAGTTTCTGCTTTTCGGAAGTGATGGAATTCAGTGGAATCGTAGACCAATTTGGTCCAGGTATGATCCTACAGGGTGTCATTTAAGTTCCCGCACAACTTTGAAAACGTATATTTCTGAAACTAAAAGTCCAAATCAAACGAGACTTGAAATATTTTTTATCTATAGTATAACAAATAATTATCTAGTAACTCTTTTCGATTCGGCCTTCTTTCTATGACTTCACAGAGACGCTTCGGGTAGGATGCGACTGTGGTACGCAGGTATTCGATGGAAAGATTGTGCCATGCCGCCAGTAATGTCTTCTTCAGAGCCTCTACACTTTAGTGGGGTTTTGCGTTGACCTTCTCCTGCAAGACCCCATCACGGAAAAGTCAAGCTGATTCAGGTCTGGGGAGCAATCAGTCCATTCGGATGACTTGATAAAGTCGGGAAAATGGGTCTGGCACCACTCCTGAGTAGTTTTGGCATTGTGGCGGGTGCTCTGTCCTGTTGAATGACCCATTTCTGCCCACCGAAATGCGTTTGAGTCCAGGGCATCACATGCTTCTTTAAAATGTCCCAAACGTAGACTTCTTTGTTCATTTTCACCCCCTGATCCACAAAATCCAGGGGGCACCTCCCGGTTGAGCAGATGGCACCGAAAACCATCACACTGGCAGGATGTGAGGCTCGATTAATTGTTCTTCCTTTCTCAGAAGCTTGCTGGGATGTCTGGGCAAGTACTCAATGGTTTTGTGAGTAGAATGCCGTCTCCATAGTGAATAGCTTCTCGTCGGAGAAGACAGTGACGAGGTGTTCTCCAGACCGCGTGCGCGCAAGAAGTCGTTTTGCTTTTTCGAAGCGTCTCTGCTTGTTGACGGCCGATAGAATTGCCGCTTTTTGGACACGATATGGGGTCAGTACAAGCTTCGTTTTGACGATTTGTTCCAAAGCGAAGATGCTCATTCCCACGTCTGACGCCATCTTTCTCATGCTCCTGTAGGGGTTTCGCCTGATCCTCGATTTGACGGCGTTGATCTTCTGAGGAGTGGTTACCGAGACGGGTCTTCCTTGTCTGAGACGGTCACTGGTCGTATTTAGCTCCTTGAAACGTTTGAAGGTGTCGTAAAGCGTTCTACGAGGCACACCGAGGCGTTGAATGATGGCTCTCGGGCTCACATTTTGCTTATGAAGTTCGATAATGGAAGCGCGATGGATGTTAGCCTTCGCCATTTCTCGGAAACACATCCGAATGAAGTGAAACTTGGAAAATAAGTAAAATATACCTTATTTAACAGAAATAAATTGTATTGGTGCACGAAAAGTGCGTCAGCGAAGCTCTTCATGACGTCAAACTTTTGTGCGGGAATTTAAATGACACCCTGTAAGTATCAATAACCCACTGTGAAGCATGGCGGTGGTTCGTGTATGGTATGAGGTGCGTTCTCTGGAAATGGTATTGGACCGCTTCATCGCGTGAATGGGATCATGGACAAGAATGTCTACAAAGACATTCTCCAGAATCAGATGCTTCCGCACTTGAAGAGAATGGGTCGTGGAAGTGTTTTCCAACAAGACAATGACCCAAAACACACTTCTTTGTTTGTTAAGGTGAGAAAATTGATAAGTAAACAGCATCACAATGAATTTCGGGATTGGTTTGCAAGCCGTCGGGTCAACGTCATCGAGTGGCCGAGTCAGTCTCCTGACTTAAACCCAATTGAACATCTATGGGAAGAGTTGGAAAGACGTTGTGCCAACAAAAGAGCCAAAAATTGCAATGAGAAGTTTGCTCAACTGCAGTCTGAATCGAATAAGATCCCCATGTCGACCATCGACACTTTGATCGACTCCATGTCGAGAAGATGTCAAGCAGTCATTGAAGCTAAGGGCTTTGCAACTCGATATTGAGCTTTAAATTATGTTTGTTACTGTTTTTGTTAATAAACTTTGTTTTTTGTTAAACCAAAACTGTTTATTGAAAACCCCAAAAAATCGGTATTTTTCGAAAATTCTATTTTTTTTTTCAAAAAAATTTTTTTTAATTAAGCAGGTGTCAAATCAGCTGGCCAAAACACGTTAAACCACTCCAAAAAATAATGGGAAAAATTTTGGATCGATACCGCATCTTTAAAAAAAGTTATCCTCAAAAAACCAAAGGTTGATAGACTTTTGAGCGGTACTGTATGTACACATATTTGAATAAATCCAATAATTTTCAGCCGAATCCTTTCGATCGTCATTGGCTTCTTGCTGGGACTTGCCGACTTCACCATCACAATGTCTCGCTCTGTCATCTGCCAGATTGCGGTTCCGGACTATCGTGCCGAAATTTTCGGCATAACTCGCGTCTATCAATGCGTTGCTTCGTGCCTCATTCTATTCATTTCGCCCTATTTGACATTATTCCATTGGATCTCAATTCTATTTGTTGGACTCATTGTCGGCGTTTCAGCTTTATTAATAGTGCTCCGTCGAACTCACAATAACTCAGTGGCTGCTCCAATTGAGCCATTAAAAGAAGAGAAGACCGAGATCGATTTTGCTTGATAGTTACATCTAATCGATATTTTCGACTAGCCCAATTAGGCGATTAATTCTCTTCAATTTTCTAGTCATTTGAGCTCATTATTATTGTTTGACTTCTATCTTCAACGGGTCCATATTTTAATAAAATGTTTTGCGTGTCTGATCAGAACTAGTTTTTCAATATTCTCTTATCATTTAACACAGTTAGATGATCGTAGGTCGTTCGAATTGATACCAAGTACACTTTTTTGAAAAAAAAGGGAAACAGATCAAACAATCAAACAGTTCAATACAACATGTTCAATGAAGAAATTGAACTATAAAATTTAACAATACTTTATGAACCCTATACTTTATGAAAAAAAAACGGAAAACCGTGCAATTTTTCGCGGAACAGAACTGAAAAAAAAACTTGCTGAAACGGAATGAGAAACGTCATTACAGGGTGTCATTTAAGTTCCCGCACAAAAGTTTGACGCCATGAAGAGCTTGGCTGTCGCACTTTTCGTGCACCAATACAATTTATTTTTGTTAAATAAGGTATATTTTACTTACTTTCCAAGTTTTACCTCATTCGGATGTGTTTCCGAGAAATGGCGAAGGCTAACATCCATTGCGCTTCCATTATCGAACTTCATAAGCAAAATGTGAGCCTGAGAGACATCATTCAACGCCTCGGTGTGCCTCTTAGAACGGTTTACGACATCATCTAACGTTTCAAGGAACTAAATACGACCAGTGACCGTCCCAGATAAGGAAGACTCGTCTCGGTAACCACTCCTCAGAAGTTCAACGCCGTTAAATCGAAGATCAGGCGAAACCCACACAGGAGCATGAGAAAGATGGCGTCAGACGTGGAAATGAGCATCTTCGCTTTGGAACAAATCGTCAAAACGAAGCTTGGACTGACCCCATATCGTGTCCAAAAAGCGGCAATTCTATCGGCCGCCAACAAGTAGAGACGCTTCGAAAAAGCAAAACGACTTCTTGCTCGCACGCGGTCTGGAGAACACCTCGTCACTGTCTTCTCCGATGAGAAGCTGTTCAGTGTGGATGCGGCATTCAACTCACAAAACCATCGAGTACTTGCCCAGACATCCCAGCAAGCTTCTGAGAAAGGAAGAACATATCATCCAGCCTCACATCCTGCCAGTGTGATGGTTTTCGGTGCCATCTGCTCAACCGGGAAGTGCTCCCTGGTTTTCGCGGATCAGGGGGTGAAAGTGAACAAAGAAGTCTACGTTCGGGACATTTTGGAGAAGCATGTGACGCCCTGTACCCAAACGCATTTCGGTGGGCAGAAATAGGTTTTTTAACAGGACGGAGCACCCGCCCACACTGCCAAAACTACTCAGGAGTGGTGCCAGACCCATTTTCCCGACTTCATCAAGTCATCCGAATGGTCTGATTGCTACCCAGACCTGAACCCGCTTGACTTTTCCGTGATGGGCTCTTGCAGGAGAAGGTCAACGCAAAACCCCACTCAAGTATAGAGGCTCTGAAGAAGACATTACTGGCGGAATGGGACAATCTTTCCATCGAATACTTGCGTACCACAGTCACATCCTACCCGAAGCGTCTCCGTGAAGTCATAGCTGCGAAAGGAGACCGAATCAGAAAGAGTTAATAGATAATTATTTGTTGTACTATAGATAAAAAATATTTCGAGTCTCGTTTGATTTGGACTTTTAGTTTCAGAAATATATGCCTTCAAAGTTGTGCGGGAACTTAAATGACACCCTGTATGTTTCCTGAGTCTGTCGGCGGGGCACGGTTCTCCGATGATGACAGGAAGGTCTGCAGCAGCTAGTTCTGTGGCAAAGTCTGATTGCATTAGTAATTTCACACGACGGTGCACGTTGGCGCAAAGGGGGTCACGCGGGCGAAACCCGCGTGTAGAGCGTATGTGAAGGCAGAAGATGTGCTCAAAGAACAATTATGGCAAAAATAATTAAGATAAAGGCCCTAAAATGAAGCAAAACGGGCGAAGAGCCGAAGAAAAAGCAAGCAAAACTGATTTACTTGCGTGCTCTCTCCTCATTTCCCAGCGCCGTTACTGTAGTACTGCGATGAGTGTGCGCGGCGGCTCTGCTTAACGCGCGCTTTGGGAGGAGGATGATAGATTAATCATTTAGTTAAACGAGAGGTTAAAAAAAGTTCGTAAGATTTTTAACATATCTTATCTACTTCTAGTTGAATCTCTAAAGGAAGTTTGTATAGAAGTTGCATGGGAACAATACTGCTTTGTTTTGTGTTTCTGGTTCGTTGTTTCTGTTAAACAAAATTATATCAGTGATTTTTTCGGGAAAGAATTTCACAAAAATGGCATTGTTCGATGTGCTCACTCGATGTGCCTCACAGCGTTATTGACATTTTAACATATTAAATTGAAAATAAGAAACTGATGATAATGCAAAGCCCTATTAAACGCACTTCTGATGCGTTATTTCAAGCTAATCGTAAAGCTCATAGTCATATTAACGCAATTATAACCCTAAATGCCTCTTTTTTATGAAATTTAAAAATTTTTAAGGAGTTCACATAATGGAGGCACTGAGCTTTTCCTATAGATTTTTGGTACTCTTGGTACTCTACGAACGATTCGTTGTACTAGAAATGCCCGGTAATTTCCAACCACCCTGTATTCAATCAAAAAGCAGCCGTCTCTTAACGCCGACCACAATCACCATTTATGTTATCAGAGGTCTATTAGAAACCACCCCCACTTTTTAACCCCCACCCTTATGCTCGCTAGCACTGTTCAGACACGCCCATTGATGCAATATTTGTGATTCGCCGGTCACCTTCGCCAGGAAGTCATCGGCGTTTCCGAAGTTCTTCACGCGGAATACGGGGTAAGCTTTGACGAGTTTATGCCAATTTGGATCATGACCATCCTGCTTTTCGGCGGGTGTCGCGAAGATTTGAGCTCTGTCAAGCGTACTTTTGCCTCGGAGAACCTGGATGACGCTGGTGCAAGCACTGATCAGAACTGAGTACGGTTCTTTATCGAATCTGTCGAGGTTGTTGACATTGGGACCGCAGATATAGTTGGAAGAGATTTTGTGGCGAAATGGGTGGGCCTGAGCGGTCTGGTAAGTGACAGTGATTTCCGGCATGGTCTAGAGACCTGGCATTGCTGCGAAAAACGGGATAATGGAGGCAGCGCGAACGGCAGCGATCACATCGGAAAGTGATGCGAAACCGGCTTGGAGTCCGTTCTGGCGAAGGATTATATCCGTGTCGATCGAAATTTCCGGAAAACCGCCAGCAGATGGGACTCGGACGATGTGTTGAAGATCCTGGACGAATGGTTTGCCGGTAAATATGACCTTGAGGACCGCGATGGTGGATGCACTGTGAATGGCTTGGTAAACTCGGGAAACCGACGCTTCGTCTCGAGAATCGATGTCAACTGCTGGATGAGATTTGCCAACCACTGCGACGACTTTGGCAAAGTAGCCTGTGGGCACACCGGCTTTGGTTTTGACACCGAGATGGTGAAGTTGCGCGTACCAAGTGACTTTTCCGGCAACGATCAACAGGAGAACGACGCGAACAAGCTGTTGGTCTTCCTGGCCCAATGTGGGGTCCAAAGCGGCGTTATTGATCGGCGCATCTTCATCGACGAAGTCCGTCCCATCGCTTTGCATTGAATTGTGCTTCAGTCATTATGTCTTCAGTAGAGGTGCCTTCGTTTGCGCAATATGCGATGAATCCAAATCCATGGTTGATGTACTGGGCATAAGCAATGAGCTTGTTGGCCGGGACAAGTTGGACGGCACGGTCGAATGCCCATTTGGCAACGCGAAAGCGCTTCTAAACGGTATTGGCTTGTTCCAGGTTTCTCGGAATGTAGATGCGAGCTGCTCGAGGAACATACTCTTCCGCTCCGGTGTCTAAGCCAACAGTGAATTGGCCATTTGAGCCAAGGGCAGCTTTGAGAATTCGGTTCATGAAATCCTGATCTACCTCCATCTCTTCAAGAGATCAATTGTTCCCTTTGGAAAGAAAATGTACTATTTGTATCGTTAAGCATGCGACTCTTGGGTAATTAAACGGAAGAAACCATTTCTCAGCCCAATGTTGAGTAAGCTGGAGACACCCGATCTTACGTTGGCCAAACGCAGTGAAAGAGTAGGGGTGAAAAAGTGGGGGCGGAATAGCAGGGTTTGGCCAACGTATGTTCGGGTTTCTCCAGCTTACTCCGGAAGAGTATGTTCCTCGAGCAGCTCGCATCTATGTACATTCCGAGAAACCTGGAACAAGCCAATACCGTTTAGAAGCGCTTTCGCGTTGCCAAATGGGCATTCGACCGTGCCGTCCAACTTGTCCCGGCCAACAAGCTCATTGCATATGCCCAGTACATCAACCATGGATTTGGATTCATCGCATATTGCGCAAACGAAGGCACCTCTACTGAAGACATAATGACTGAAGCACAATTCAATGCAAAGCGATGGGACGGACTTCGTCGATGAAGATGCGCCGATCAATAACGCCGCTTTGGACCCCACATTGGGCCAGGAAGACCAACAGCTTGTTCGCGTCGTTCTCCTGTTGATCGTTGCCGGAAAAGTCACTTGGTACGCGCAACTTCACCATCTCGGTGTCAAAACCAAAGCCGGTGTGCCCACAGGCTACTTTGCCAAAGTCGTCGCAGTGGTTGGCAAATCTCATCCAGCAGTTGACATCGATTCTCGAGACGAAGCGTCGGTTTCCCGAGTTTACCAAGCCATTCACAGTGCATCCACCATCGCGGTCCTCAAGGTCATATTTACCGGCAAACCATTCGTCCAGGATCTTCAACACATCGTCCGAGTCCCATCTGCTGGCGGTTTTCCGGAAATTTCGATCGACACGGATATAATCCTTCGCCAGAACGGACTCCAAGCCGGTTTCGCATCACTTTCCGATGTGATCGCTGCCGTTCGCGCTGCCTCCATTATCCCGTTTTTCGCAGCAATGCCAGGTCTCTAGACCATGCCGGAAATCACTATCACTTACCAGACCGCTCAGGCCCACCCATTTCGCCACAAAATCTCTTCCAACTATATCTGCGGTCCCAATGTCAACAACGTCGACAGATTCGATAAAGAACCGTACTCAGTTCTGATCAGTGCTTGCACCAGCGTCATCCAGGTTCTCCGAGGAAAAAGTACGCTTGACAGAGCTCAAATCTTCGCGACACCCTCCGAAGAGCAGGATGGTCATGATCCGAAGTGGCATAAACTCGTCAAAGCTTACTCCGTGTTCCGCGTGAAGAACTTCGGAAACGCCGATGACTTTCTGGCGAAGGTGACCGGCGGACCGCTCGGGGCTGTTCCAACGGTTCTGAACCAGTCGATGATCAACGCATTTCTGACCGCCGGCATCACACTGTCCACAGGCGAATGGGCCCGTCAGACGGATAAAATCAGAGCTCAAGCCGGAGAGGCAGCGGAGCGAATTCAGGGAGGCCACGATGCCGACAGCGACGATGGCGACAACGAAGACGATTACGCAGTTGCACCTGCTCAAGCTGCAAGGAACAATGTCGCAGCGACAGAATCGCTAATCTCATCAACATTTTTCGCGGTGTCTAAAGAGCCCAAGACGGCCATCAAGGACACATTCTGTGCATCGTATTTCAACTCGTTCGTTCAGATCTCTCTGCCACATTCATTCAGGGCTCTTTAGACACCGCGAAAAATGTTGATGAGATTAGCGATTCTGTCGGCGGCTGCGACATTGTTCCTTGCAGCTTTAGCAGGTGCAACTGCGTGATCGTCGTCGTTGTCGCCATCGTCGCTGTCGAGTCAACGTCTCATTTTCCTGTGTTTGATGAAGTTACTCTTCAATAAAATACGCCGGATGGTTTGATTTGACACCATGAAATTGAATTTCCTTCGAATCGTTGAGACGGCCGAATTTGACGGTCTCCGCCAAATTTTGCGCTTATCACGGTCCGAAAGCAGCGAAGGACGACCTGTCGACGTTTTTTTTACCATAAGCGGCTGGATTCTTAGCATATCGGCTAGTAACATTATGATTGCGTCACAGATCATTTCCAATTTGTCGAGACCTTGAGCCAGCTTTGCATCATTATTACATTTTTTCAAAGTCGGTGAACGGCTTTTCACGAGACATGTCTTAACGAACAGTAAAATTGCAAAAAAAAACATTCGAAAATACGAAAAAAAATGCGAAAAAATGGAGTGGGTATATAGTTTTGTGGAAAAATTTTTTCCACTTTTTCGTGAAAATGACGAAATTTTTAAAATTGTTATTTTTTGTTGAATTTTGTGAATGTAACATGAAACTAATAATAAATGCGGATATTTTTCTAATTGAAACCATTTCTGGAGGTATTCGCGTTTCGATTTATTCTACATTCTTTTAATGAAAAATTTTGTAATATTTATACAGAAATTTGGATTTCACATCAGAAGGAAAAGTATGGTTCCGTTATGGCATAAAATTTAATTAATTTCTCTAATTCCTTTAAAAGTACTCTTAGAAACTTTATAAATTCGCTGTGTTAAAAGTGATATTTACGGGAAAGAATTTTACAAAAAATGGCATTGTTTGGTGTGCTCACTCGATGTGCCTCACAGCGTTATTGACATTTTAACATTTTAACAAATTAAAGTGAAAATAAGAAACTGATGATAATGCAAAGCCCTATTAAACGCACTTCTGATGCGTTATTTCAAGCTAATCGTAAAGCTCATAGTCATATTAACGCGATTATAACCCTAAATGCCTCTTTTTATAAAATTTAAAAATTTTTAAGGAGTTCACATAATGGAGGCACTGAGCTTTTCCTATAGATTTTTGGTACTCTTGGTACTCTTCGAACGATTCGTTGTACTAGAAATGTCCGGTAATTTCCAACCACCCTGTATTCAATCAAAAAGCAGCCGTCTCTTAACGCCAACCACAATCACCATTTATGTTTTCAGATTGGATAATGAATCCCCCGCCCTCCGATTCGTCATTTGAAATCATCCTCGGGCTTCCAAAAATCATTTAATCGAATTCATAATCAATGCCCTCCGTTACAAAACCAAAAGATAAATTTTGAAACATCATCGGGCCAACAAAGTCAATTTCATAAAATAACTCGGAATGATTGGACTTGATCAAAACTCAAAATTAGAAATGCGAAATGTGGAGACGTTAATGGTACCTTGGCATTATTTCCAGCATTCTGTTATCGTATGAAGCACAGATTTTATCTAGTTAAATCACGATTTCCGACAAGATCGCGATGACTCGGTGATAACGGGCAAACATCTGAAATTAAACAACTTTCTCAAGAATTTCATTGAAAAAAAAACTTACTAGGATTTCGCTTTCATTTTTTCTTCATTCCTCATTATTCAATTTCAATCGAATCAATCAATTTCGTCTCTGATTTCGAATAAATACAATAAAAATTACAATAAAAATCTACTAATTCGAACGACAATGGATCTTTTCGTCACAATTGAAAGTGTCCGTCGTTGTATTCAAAATAAATATCAAGTATCATTAAGCCACTTCTTCTTTTTTTTAACATGAACTTATATAAGTTTCTTATTTTTCTTTTTTTGTGGCTTTCTAAAATAAAAAAAATTGCCAAAAAGTTTGTGTTAATGTTTTGTGCTCGTTTCGAAACATTTTTAATTTTTTTTTTTTATTTCATTTTTAATTTTCATTTTTAACTGAAAAGAGAAAACATGACACACCACCCGAAAATAAATCTATTTATACCATAATTTTTGGTATTTTTCTTATCTTCAACATCTTTCGTTGAATAATTTCAAATAAACTATTCGTAATAATAGTTTTTAGATTGAATACTTAAGTTTTTGATCTGAAATTATTGCATTTAGAAATACAGCAAGAACTTTAATGCTTACCATCATCGACCTTTCACAGGTGCTATTTCGAAATTTCTGGATACCGAAATCAATTAATTTCCAACTCAATTTTTCAAAATCTAAGGCGATCCGGCTTCTTTACAGATCTTCGAATAACTTTTCATACTTACACCATTTTCTTCGGAAATGTTACGATTGTAAATAGATCATAATATATAATTGAAAAATATTTTAATTTCTTACTATGTATATTTTATCTGATAAATCTATTTGACTCTATATTCTTCTGATTGAGCCAATATAATGAATTCATTTTGTGCTACCTGAAACAAATATTTTTTAATCATAAAAGTCCATTGAAAACTCACATTTTAAGCCATGTGGGGAAGACGATTGAATAAAATAAGATAAACGATGAAAACTGTGATTAGTAAATTAATTAAAAATAAAAAGAGGGAAACAAAAAAATACAATGATACAGTAGTCATTACAATAGAAGAATGAATTCAACGACAAGAATCATTTTTACAATATAATTTGTTATCTTTTCAAAGAATCTCACGGCAGTTTATTTCAAACTTTTGTTTTGACTTTTTAACAACTTTTTTTTTCTTTTAAAAATTATTCTTTTTGGTGTTTATTTTTTTAAGTCTTTTTTTCCTTTTTTGTTTTTTTAATATTTTTTATTTTTCTGCCACTATTTAAAAGATAAATGAAATTAACATTGATAATTATGTTAAATGCATGTTCGTTTGACACTAAAATGAAGATATTTGAATAAAAACCCAAACGAAATACTCACCATTCGATTGACGCCGATCAATTTAATCTTTTTTTATTTTCAACATAATATTGTGATCATCATTGCTCACGATTTCCAATGAATATGATTTCAATTTATTTCAGGGCTGCTGTTGGTACTGCCGAGAACTTGAATTTGATCAATCTGTGAATCAGAAATAAATTTTCAAGAAATCACTTGAAATCTTACCATTTTGAACAATTCTAATAGAAATTTGCAGATTTTGAACAATCTATGAATAAGGGGGGAGGGGGCGATCAGGGGCGGGCCGACCATGGAAATGAGCGAAAGGAAAAATATTAAAATATTAGATAAAGAAAAATAATAATACGAACACGGCATGATACAATTCCCATTTAAATTATGGTGGTAACGATAAAGAACTAAAATTAAAAAATAAAACAAATTGTAATTAAAAGATTTTTTTAATATTTTCTTCTTTTTTTTTTTTTTTTTTTTTTTTTTTTTTTTTTTTTTTTTTTTTTTTTCTTTTTTTTTTCTTTTTTTTTCTTTTTTTTTTCTTTTCCTTTTTTTTTTTTTTTTTTTTTTTTTTTTTTTTAGATCTCTCTTTTTTTTACTTTTATTTACTTTTTTTAACATTTTTCTTTTATTAATGTCTTTCTGGGTTCAATAATTAAACAATTGAATAATATGTCAAGTAATAAACGTTCTTGTGACACTAAAATTGAGATATTGGAATAAGAAGAAGGTAAATGTTTACCGTATGTTTGACACCATGCTTTCGAATAATTCGATTCGGTCTTGATCCGGTTTTCAGTTCGGTCTTGATCCAGTTAGCATGGAGTTTTGTTGAAAAACTCTCTCGGGAATTCTAACTTCGTTATTTCACATGTTAAACTGAAAACGTACGATTTTATTTAAAAAAAAACCTTATTAAGATCTTACTTTTACATCAAAATCATGAAAAAATATTTTTTTCGGTTCTTGAAAAGTTTACAAACGAAACTGCGTTTTTTTTAATTTGGAAACGGCAAACATAGAATAAAATCCATTCCTTTAATTCCCTGAGAAATTAGTTTCTAAATTTGTTTCATTAATAATTAATTAAGTAACAATGAAAATTCTCACCGCATTTTTCAACCAATTCAAATCGAATATTCGACTGGGATCGATTTACTCCACATCTTATCTTATAGATAATTTCTCATCAAAACATGACATTAACATAAACGTGATTTCCTGAATAAATATATTATTTCTAATAATTTAAGAAAAAAATTAGTACCTCACAGAAATCACTTTCTTTCCATTTGACATAAGTTATTTGCGATTTTGTACGATTACCATAAATTTAGAATTCTTCTTATTCATATCGCATGCTCAAACAAATAATAATAAAGCGGATCTGAATAGAATGATATAATCAATGAATAGTAAGTAATTCATACTATCGCATCCGGAAACAGAATGGCTCGGAACAAAAATTTCGGAAACACAATTGAAACCGTTCAATTGTTCCATGTGTGGTTGACATAATCAAATGCTGATTTATATCAGATCGATAGTGACGCCTAAATAAGCATATTTCTTATTATTAAATTAGAAATTCGTCCTTACCTACCATTATAAAACAAAATTAGAATTCAAAACAAAACAAATGTATGGAGATCCATTGAACGATCTTCTCGACGACTTTCTTTCGCGTAGCTCTCATAAAGTTAACAATATCGAGGCAAAAATGTATTTGTGAGTCAATTCACATTTCATCGCGTCGAATGTATACAAAAAATGAGTGATATCTTAAAATGAAAAGACGTTTGAATTTTAATAAATTTGAAATGAGTACTGTTACCTTGAAATTGTGTAGGTTCACTCGACGAAAAATTGCACAGCTCTATTGGACATGTGAATATTGGTAAATATTTCATCATTTTCATCACTTTCTTGGGATCATCATTCGTTGTTGATTGAAACAAATTGTTGGAAGATTCCAGCTCGACTATTCAATGGTGGCTTCGCAGGATGTTTCTTGAGAACATTGTCCGAAGCTTGTTTCGAGCTCTTATTGCCGCCATCCGTTTTTGACGTATTTGTTGACGTACACGTGGAATTAGTGGCGGACTCGCGATTGCTTCAGCAGCAATTTCGTCTAAAAAAAGGTTTGTTATTGAGTAATTAACTTGAAAATTGGACAAAAATAATATGCAAAAAAAACATTGAAAATTAATGATGGAAGAGATAAATTAACCGATATCGAATTTTAAATTCTCATTGTTTTGCACATTATTTATTTTATAATTCTATTCACGAATACTTACCAAGCTGCGTGACGATTCCTTCAATGATGAAACAAAGATCTTCGCGCTCCTTTTTCACGTCGGTCCGACCATATCGTGCCAGATTGCTATTGGGTGCCACGAGAATCCTCCGTGCATTGGCAATGACGTGCACACCGCAATTGTACCCGTCCTGCTGGGCCTCTTGATGGCGTTGTGGGACCCAGCGGACTGTTGAGATGGTGTTGGGGTACATTGCGGCGAGAATCCTTTTGACACCCTTCGAGACGATGCTCCTCTCCTTCGGTGTGCGGTTGGCGGCAAGCGAGTCGTAAATACAACACTTGCCGCTCGCTGGGCGGTAGGAAGCGAGGAGCCAGTGCTGATCTTGGTGCACTGGCATGAGGAGTACCTCGCATTCCTCACGCACACCTACTGTACATCGCCCCAGGACTTCTTCGGCATCGTCCCCTTCCTTCTCATCGATTACCATCTTCACTGCAGATGGCAAAACGACGGCAACCTTCGCAGCCGTAGACTGGGCCAGGTTGATGAGCCCGGCAACAACGGTTCCAGACGACATGTAGGAGTCGCTTCCTTCAGGCCGATCTTCTGATGTAATGAGACCGCCTAACGCTCCTCTGATGGCTGGGTGAAAGTGTTCTGGCGCCAGCTGCACCACTTCCGGCTCCTCCGTCTCTTCTAATATCTGCTCATCATCCTTCATCCATTCCGCCAACGTCATCTCCGCGTTCTTCTTCATCTCAACCATCGGCACGACCTTCTCGACCACTTCTTCTACTACCTCGATGACGTCCACCATTTGGTTCACAACCTTCCTCACTGCCGGCGCGCACTCTGCCACTTGAACATTCGCCCAGATCACGTTGGCTCTCTCCACAACTTGCTTCATCGACTTCCTCGCCTGTCGTCTCGACATCACCTTCGCAACATCGTAATTGTTGCAGTTGGCAGGACTGCATGGGCATGCTTCATAACACAACACTTCATCAGTTCGGCATGGACATTCTTGTTGGCAACCAGTTGAAATGCAAACGGCCGCGCAGAACTGGCCAGTCATCAGCAATCTCTTCTCATCTTCAATTCGCTCTCTATCAATTGCACCAAACTGCTCCCAAAGCTCTTCCTGAGTACACCTCCTCGGCTTCTTTGGCGCGCTGTTGAGGCTCGTCGTCCTCATTTCAATCAAATCCCCCGCCGGTCGGGTTCTTTTTCTTCCCATCAATGGGCCTAAACCCCAAAATTAGCGGAAAGATAAGGTATAATTCCTATTTTAATAAATCTTATCCATAAATGGCTTTAAAGGTAAACTCACAGGAAAAGAAATACGGAAACCCCACAACCTAAAACGGAAAAACCGAAAAAATTGCGCGGCGTCCCAAAAATGAACCACTTCCCATTTAAGTTTGTTACTGTTCGTATGATAAATTTTTCTTGTTAATTTCAGGAGAATAGCCGACACCATGCAATCAATTTCTTTTTAAGCCTCGATTTTTTAAACCTCGATATGCCCAGGTAAATAATAAAAAAATATTATTTAACACCAAATAATGTTAAATAGAACATTTTTAAGAATTAAACCAAAATACGCGTAAGACCTCGAAAATTTTACTCACACGCTCATTGATTAACATTTAAAAATTGAACACGAAACACAAATTTTTGAAAAAGGATTATCCAATTCTAATTACATATATTCATTTTACAATGTTTTCGATATGCATAGATATTTTTTTTTTAAATTTGTATTCACATTTTTTGGCATAATTCATTGTTTAAGCTTAAAATTGGGATTTTATAGTTTTTTTTTTTTAAGAATTCAATATTCAATCAAAAAATCAACATTTTTAATGGTTTTGAAATTATTTTTTATTCCACTCCTTTCCATAAATACCGATTGCATAATTCAAAATATTGCTATAAATTTATTGAATTTTAATCCTTACAGGTTTGCACATTACTAAAATGTGAAATTAAAAAACGAGTATTATGCGCAACTTCAGAATGTCATGATTTTTCTCTTATTGATTTCAATCTGCCAACTTTTCAAATTCTATATTCGTTATGTAAAATTAGTTTCTAATCCATAACGATTTTTATAAAATTCGTTTTTTTGCAATTTTAATAAATATTATGCGTTTATGCTTTTTAAAATTTCAGCTACAAGTTTGACAATAATTTTGAGTTATTGCACAGCTGCTGCCATTTTTGATACATATTTTCAATATCTATTAATTTTTAGTTTTAATATGCACTGAATGAAAATTTCTGATTAACCATTTGTTGTCTCAATCCTGCATGTGAATTACTCAATATTCGACCGTCAAAAAAATACAGGTGTGGCTGAAATGGCTGGAAATTTGGCGGTCATCAAAAATTAGGTCACGCCTAACGTCGCTACAATTTCCATCTTGCAACTAGTAACGAAAAAAGACGACAACTTTTCGGAAATCGATCAAGAGAAGCAGTATAAATATACGTGAAATTAATTTCTTTTTCAAGATATGTTCTCTTAAAAACTTATCGACAAATGTTTAGCGCAAAACTTAAAATTTAGGCCAAAATTTCAAAAATGTTATTTTAAGCCTCTAAAACACTTGTGTAAAAAAAAATCTATTCGAATAATTTGAAATAAATTATTATTTTTTTATTTCAGCACATTTAGTTATAAAAAACTAAATTTTAACATTAAAAATTGAAATAAAAACTGAAAAACCACGCACCTTCAACAACTTCCAGAAGAACCTCCTTCACGGACTCGCAGAAGCGAACCCGTTTTGGAGATCCCGAATCGGCGTCGCCATCCTCCATCGTTCTCTTCATAGCAGCACTTCTTCTGGTGAGCGTCATGTCGCTGTTCATCAAAAAAATTGAACTGAATTTCAGTTGACCTCATTTTCACGCGTCGACGTGTTAACTAGGTCACGTTCCAATTATTTTTTTCATCTTTTTGCACTAATTTTTTTAGCTCGAAAATCGAGCATTAAAAAAGTTTATATGTTATTAAATATCGAGAATAATTAATTTTAGCATTTTTTAAAACCCATTTTCATCTTTCATTTAGTTTCAAACTATTTTTTTTTGTTTTTTAAAAGAATTTCTACAAATAATTATTTTTTATTTAAATTTTACTATCTAAAATTTTGTTTGCACTTCTATGATTTAAGTTCTGAATAATTATATTTTCACGTGTACTTTGGATTTAGTTTTATTAAATTTTATCTGATATTTTCACGCAAATATTATCATTATTCGAAATTGAATGCTTGGCCAAACAATTCAAATGCGACTATAATCGTCGCTTGCATTCTTAATTATAATTATAAACAGCATTTCAGTTATTTTTAAATTTTTAAGAGTTCAATTTTCAGAATTCCATTTGCATACGAATTATTGGTTTTGTCCACTTCACCGAGATCGTCACTTATGTCAAATCAACATCCATCCTTCCAGTCGTTTCTCTAACGCAGGTTTTCTATTCGATTTCAGTTTTATATACAGGTTTTTTGGCATAGATACTATCAAGAGCAATTTTGATACGTTTTTGATTATTTTGATTAAAATGTTGTAATTTACATAATTTTAGCGATAATAAATGCGTTTATTGTAGATTCCTTTTCAATAAAATTAGCAAATCTGGAAAAATAATTAAATAAGAATACTTCAAATCACCTTATTCATTTACCATTTCGCATATTTTGTGACTCGAAGCTGTTTCTGCCAATTGTGCAAACATTTTTTGATTGACGCGCTGTGTCGCACGGGAGCACTGAAATTAAAAAAAAAAGTTTCTACAACGCTCAGAACCAGTGTGTCTACCCGGGACGAAGTTTCCCGGGAATTTCCGGGTTCCCGGGAAATTCCCGGGAAAATTTTCCCGGGACCCGGGACTCATTGAAACTTAATTTCCCGGGATCCCGGGATCCCGGGAAATTCGTTTCCCGGGAAACGCGGGATCCCGGGATCCCGGGAAATTCATTTCCCGGGTTTCCCGGGAAATTCCCGGGACACCCGGGACAATCCCGGGACAATCCCGGGAAAGTCTGCAAACACCGCGCGCGCAAACGCACACTCTTCGAATATTGCGTATTGTCGTTTTTTTTTCGAAATTTTATGAGTTTTCTTATTTTCTTTGTCATTCTGATTCGCGACATATTCAAATCGAATCTTTTCAGTCAGTCTTTTCAGATCGAATCAGCGATATTATTTATTATTATAATTTATTGTTTACTTGATCGATCTTCAATAAGTTTTTTCGTTGAAAAAAGTATATTGAAAAAAGTTTAAAACCATTATTTCGTATAAAATTCTTGCTAATTTGGAAAAATCGTTATTTGCACATTTCAATTGTACTCATTTTTCTGCCAAATTTTAAAAATTCCAAATAGGGACTTCCTACGCCATTTTCTAAGCATTGGAATCTTTTTAAAATAAGAAAATTCATTAAAATGAAACGAGAATACGCAATATTCGAAGAGTGTGCGTTTGCGCGCGCGGTGTTTGCAGACTTTCCCGGGATTGTCCCGGGATTGTCCCGGGTTTCCCGGGAATTTCCCGGGAAACCCGGGAATTTCCCGGATTTCCCGGGAACCCGCTCATCCCGGGAAATGAATTTCCCGGGATCCCGGGATCCCGAGATACCGGGATCCCGGGTAGTTGCGGGACGAAACCGGGACGAGACCCGGGATTGGAGTCCCGGGATTTCCCGGATAAACCGGGAAACGAAATTCCCGGGATCCCGGGAAATCCTGTCCCGGGTAGATACACTGCTCAGAACAATTCTGTAACCAATTTTTGGAAGGTTTGTGGAATTCGGGAGCAGACATTCGAAGTGAGAGCGAAGCTCGCATGTTGTGAAAGAATTTCAGTATTCTCTGCCAAGATTGTCTCAAAATGAGCACAATGCTCACAACCAAGATTTTTGGATTCGACAGAATTGAGCTGTTCGAACGCATATTCTGAAGGATGTTTGCATTAAAAAATGGTATCTCTTCTAGGTATACCTTTCTTCTTTTGACAAGTGTGCATCGTCTCACAGATTCCTCTTCCATCGAACTGGTTATAAGTTAAATAAAGGACAGTGGAAAGATACATGTGGAAGAAGTCATTACATCCCACAGTCCAGTTTGCGACAACGTTATTGCAAACCAGTGGCTGAATATCGTCGGCGGTCGCTTGCTGTAATTCTAACAAATTAGGTAACTTGACCTTTTCTCTCACTCTATTGTTGATGAACTCCTCGAGAAGTGCGTCCATGGAGAGTGTGCATTCAAAGCAGCTCATCAATTCCTTAATGGGCTTGTTGGTATTTCACATTAATAATTTGCGTACCTCTCCGTGTGAAGTCTTGACGACTCCCATCTGTTCCCAAACCTTGCTCAAATCGGTAGTTGGCTTTTTGATTTCAGCCAGTTCCGTCTTTGTCTTGGAGCACAATTGCAAATCAGAGCACACGGTTTCAGAGGCAATGAACATGTCTCGCAATTCAGCAACCAATTCCGAAACGGTGTTCTCGGCGAACACGTGACACTTAATAAACATTCAATCTCTTTTGCAAAATCATTTCTTACAGCCTTTCTGTACTTTCCAGCTCCCTTGCACACAAGCTTCTCGAACAGGGCCGTTGCCAAAAACACGTTTCGTTCATCAGCGAGTTGTTGTCCGACACTCTCCGAAGCATGCATACACTCGTCACAAATTTCGGCTTTCTTAAAAAAGAAACACGTGGTTTGATTGCTTATCAACTTCGTCGTCTTACCAAGATATTGTTGTTAGATACTTCACTCTGTGACTTTTTGAGGAAAAGAAGAAGAAAACGGGCGAGTTGATTGTCGCCATTTGCCGAGCACATCTGGAGTTTCGAGCAAACCGCCGTCGAATCAGTCTGGTTTTATTGAAATTATTATTTTTATGTGAAGGATTCTAGTGATACCAAATATGGCGCCAATTTAGCTGCAATATAGTCCAAATGACTAATTGTTTTCAAGCAATCGCTGTCTTCATTTCCAAGACACATCATCGCGAGACCCGCTTTCATTTCATTCATTTTCAGTGGATTTTTCGAAGCTTCAATGAAGTTTTGAACCATCTGAAATTAATTTATTTATTTTAACGCACCATTTTGTCTCATACTGATTTGCATGTTTCGCAAACTGATGGAATCTGTAATGCTTTAAATTAGGCAAATAATTGGTGACTTGTGAATACCTCCTTGGCAGAGATTGCCAAAAATAGAGAAAACAGAACGACGAATGGTCTCATTCCTGAACATTGAAACAAATTGGAATACGAATAAATTAATGGAGTAATAAAACAAATCGAAAAGTGTGGTTATCAAACCGAAATTTGTGAATTATCAATCAGCTTGTGCTCGCTCATCAATTATCAACTACGATTTATGTATGTTCACCTCTGGAATGGTCACATTTTATGGCGTTTAAATCGAATCAATGATTAGCTGAGAATAGACTACATTGTTGACGATTTAAGTCATCAAATTATTGAGTTCAAAGCTCATACGGTCAGTAGAAACGGATCAGCTTAATGAAAATTTTATTTGCCGTTAAAAACTAAAATTATAAATATTAGCAATTGTAATTAAAAAATGTTCTCCAAGATTTTGCTCGTTTTCAATTTTCCTGTTCACATTTTCATCGAGAATAGGCTATTTAAAGTGAAGTTTGTAAAAAAAAACACAAGATTATTTATTGCTAAAGGTTAGTCAAAATTAAAGTGTTGGTGTTTAGCAGCCATGCTGAAACATAAATAGATTAAGCAGTTCAAAAATTCTAGAGGGTATACCGCTTTGCTAAGCATTCCTCGATTTGCCATGTCAACGGTAGCTTCGCTGATTTTCGAGGTCAACATTGCCATGGCGGAATAACACTGAAAATAATTTTTTAACTGATATGACTTGTTGAAATCATACATGCATTTCAATACATTGCGGAAGAACATCACAAATATTCTTAATGAGATTCAGATTCACGTATTTCTCAACGGGGCTGCCAACAAAGTTTTCCTTAAAAAACAGAATTATAAAAGCACTTCGTGTGATATCAATTACTTTTATGAACAGCTCAAACTGCTTAGTTGTTGCACACTTCTCTTCCTGAATCTCTTGGAATGAAAGCTTTCTATAAGCTTCAACTAAATGATTTAAATATTACATTTAAAATTATGATTGAGGTTGAACACACGCGATTTTTTGTGGCAACATTTATTTGCAGTGCAAATTCCTTCGGCAGTTGCTTGCTCGATTGTCATCTGAACCACCATCGGAAGATAGATTGAGAGGAAATCGTCGCAGGAAGCTGTCATATTGGAAGGAACGATTTTGTAACAAGCGATGTCTTGAATATCTTTGGCGATTTCTTTCTAAAATGAAAAAAAAACATTATTTTTAATATTTCGAAAAGCGATTCCCACTCTATTGCCCATCATTTCCTCTTGTATTCCGTCCACTGTCAATTTGCATTCAAAACACGACATTGCGAGAACCTAAAAGCTTCGGATTGAGCACAACTTTTCAGCTTATTGCCGAATTTGAAAATTATTCTTCTCTTATTTGATATCCGAAGTTTCAGCCGAATATCACAAGCTTTTATTACCTCTCCATACTTAGTTTTCATTTGCGCCTTTTCCCAGAATTTTTCCACCTCATTTCCAGCTTGTTCAATTTCAGAATCCTCGATCAATTTCTAAACAATTCCATTTTGCATTACCATTGTTGGTAAGAAACAAAGGAAGGGGTAAAATGCTGATTTTATTATGCAACGTTACAAGAGGTATACATAAATATTACAAAAAGACAAGCATTTTGGGAAATACGAACAACGAAGGTTTAGAGGATGTGCTTCTGGAAGAATCCAAAGATACCAACATGTTGACGATACTTGAAGAGTGGGCTCTGGGTGCAAGCATGAATGTCAACGCAGACCTGAAAATGTGAGAACTGTTGTAAAATCTATAGGAATTTTAGCTACTTGGTGTCCCTTTCCAAGAATAGCGTCAACTTGTTGAATGAATTGTGGAAGGTATTCATCAACAATCAAATCGCACTGAAATCAATCAATTTCTATTAATGATAACGTTCTGAACAACTCACGAATCCTCTGTAGCCTGCCATCTTCTTGCAAACCTTCTCTCTCAAGAAATCGCGGAGCTCGATTTGCTTCTCCTTGCTTTCAAGGAACTCACGGAGCTCCTTAACAGCAAATTCGCATTCATCACAGAAGATGTTCTTCTACAAAATAAATGACTTTATAAACTCATAGAAGTTAATTATAATACCCAGCCGATAGACTTTCCGGAACTAACGTATTCTTGGAGAAGATGGTGGAAAGTTTCGATGCGCGGGTTTGAGCACAAATGAATCTTCTTGCACACAGCAGTGGGGTTCTTCTGGAAAGCGAAAAATTACTGAATAATTCTTTAAGGTTCTTACCAAGTATGGCTCGAGTGATTCAATGAATCTATCGATTTGAGAAACAAAAAGACGGCATTCTTCAACATACGATGTTTGACCACAGAGAAGATTCAAAACAATTTTGAGCTCCTTCATTTTTTCCGGATCTTCGGCAGCTTTAATAATTCTCTCAATGACCGAAGTGCATTCCTTGCACGTTGCACTTCCTTCAGTGGTTTTGTCATATCCCATGACGCGGTTGCTCTAAAACAATGTCCATGTTTCGTTTAAAATAACACGATTTGAAAACCTGCAACATCTTCTCTTTGTATGCAGAAGTAGCGCAAAACAGCGCGGCGATCAACAAAATCAACTTCATTCTGTAAGACAAAAATAATCGAATGGTGAACGGAAAGTAAAATGAAATGAATATCTGCGATGGGTCGTGCGGCCGACGAGCATCTGTCGACGGGCCCGCAAATAATTGATACTGGTCATTTTTTGTGTCAGATGGAAGGGATATTGAAAGAGTTAGAGAAATTGAGAAGCGATGGAGCTTCAATCATTGACGGAAATTGATGATCGCAAAAAATTGAAGGGAAAAGAAAGAACTGGCTATCTGTTGTTTCATTTGGAGAGAAGATTGTGAAATTCGCGAAACATGTTCCTTTAGAAGGACGCTCTTGCAAATATAAGTGTAGGGTCGAATGGTTGCAATTATAAGTGCGAAAATGGTCCACTGTCTTGCTTTTGGGAACATTGCGAAAAGTAAGATATTTATACTACTACTCTTGTAGATATCATACAGAACAGCAATACTACATAAAAAATAACTAATTTAAAATTTTATAGTCGAAATCGCAAGAAAAATTCGATTATGAAGAGTAAAAAGAAAAATGCGAGGTGTTTTCGGCCAAGAACACCATCGAAAACACAACGGCCCGAACAACTGACACAATAAAAAGGTCCCCCATCGAATGACACCTAATGACCAGGGAGCACAACACCTCTATCATGTGCGAAAAACCAGTGGAATTTTTCGGCTTAGACCTTGCATATGCAATTTATCGTGATTAAACTACATACAGACACATTTTTGGGAACAACGTGGCTCTTATCTGAAAAAAACGTGACCCTCTCAGTGATTTACGGTCTTTTTTGTTGATTTCAGATGAATTTTAATGGAATTTTTAACCGTTTTTTAACACAATGAAGGAACTGCTAAAAATTCAGTGCAGGTTCTCAATGTGCAATAAACTCAGTGTCGACAAAAGCAGGAAGTTTTTCGATGAGAAAAAAATTAAAACCGTCCGAAAATTCTTATCAACTTGGGCCATCAATCATAAGATTAAAAATTTGATATTTCTGAAGGAAATTGATTTTGTCGTTACACAAAAACGATCAGTATTTTTATTTATTAAGTATTGAGAAAATTTTTAATTAAGCAAGCAATTAGGCAATCTCTTTCCACTAACGAAATTGAGATAAAAATTATGAAAATCCAAAATAACCAAAAGAGACTGAACGAACTAAAAAGCATGTAGTCAAGTGGTGTTGATTTAATATTACCACTATTTCTGTGTATTTCTCAATTTCCTAACTGCATAAGTTGTTCTCAAACAACAAGTAACAGCTGCTGCACAAAAATGTGAAATGAAAACGAAGATGATGGTTTGGTTAATTGATTTATGGTCCAGCTCATGTGATTGATTGATTTTACATCACCTGATCGTTCAAGTGTTTCATTAACGCATTTGCTGAGCAAAAATGCTCAGAAATGGAACTAAAAAACCTTACCATGAAGAAAATATAATAATTACCTTTAAAATTGAATTTAAAAATATGACTCTTCATCGCTGACCTCTGTCTTTCAAGTTAACCGTTTGGAACACGAAAAATGTTTTTACTTTACTCGGAAAATAAAAAAAAAATTCCTGAGAGTATGGCCAATACCGAGAAATGCCTTCGATGGGTTTGTATACGTGGCCGAGCACAGCTTTCGCAGTCTGAAAAAATTAGGTCATAAAATTTTTGAACATCCGAGTTTCTTCATTATTATTTTATTCTTTATCATATTTAAACATATTTTTTAGTCGTTGTCATTATTCTAAATTTATTTCTAATATTCATATTTTAACTATTTAAAATTTTGCGTTTAAAATTAGACCACTAACTTTTTCCTTTTTAGGTGTGTTTCACTAAGGATGTGTAAAATAGAATAGATCAACTTATGGTACTTTTTTTCAACCTTTGGCGGTAAAATGAGATCGATATTTTGAAAATATTGTTGTCAGTGTTCTATTTTTTACCATGTTGTCGAGCAGTAAGTTCACTCCTTACTTCCTTTTTTAATTAAAAAATTTTATAGCCGCTCTTTTCGACGAGATACTTTTACCAAAAGGAATAGCTGATGTTCCACTGGGACTCAAAATCCGTCCACTTGAAGTTGATGATTACGAAAAAGGGTAATCAATGAATTAAAGACACGGAAATTACTTAACTTTAGCTATTTGGAACTTCTTGAGCAACTCACAACAGTTGGAAAAATCTCGAAAGACAAGTTTATGAAGAGATTCGAATCCATGCAGAAGGCCAACTCTTATTACATCGTCGTTATTGAGGACATTGAGTAAGTTATTTTGATATTATACATATTAATAAATGGATTGCATTTCGAAACATAGGTTATCGCAAATTATCGCCACTGCAACATTGCTGATCGAATTCAAATTTATCCATGGCGCTGGAACTCGTGGCAGAATTGAAGATGTGGTTGTTGATCAAAAAATGAGAGGACAAAAGCTGGGAGCTCTTCTCAACAAAGTTTTGGTTGACATTGCCGAGAAGGTAACGGTTGCAATAATTATTATACATTCACTTTCCTTCAATGGTTGTTTCATTTAGAAAAACTCATTACTAGATTTTTTTGTTATTCGGAAAACGTTTGACCTTTAGTGTGACTGAAATTTTCAGTTGGGCGTCTACAAACTTTCCTTGGAGTGCATTGATGGTCTTATCCCGTTTTACGAACAATTTGGTTATAAGAAAGATGTGAATTTCCTTGTGCAACGCTTTGAAAACTAAATAACTTCTTTTTAAATTTCCCATTGCACGATTCTCTTGGCAGTATGAAGTATTTATTTCGATAAAAAATATTGTGTTTATTGGGCGTGGACGAGACGAGCTCTCTTCTTGTGGACAGCGACGCGCTTCTTGGCGAGAACGACGCGGGATCTGGCGACCTTTCTGCGCGAGTATCCTTGAGCGTGGGATCCAGCCCCACCACCGTATCCTCCTCCGACGGCACCGCCGCCAAATCCGCCTCCGGCAGCTCCACCGTGTCCAGCTCCTCCACGCGATGGGCATGGGCAATAAGCGGCATCGGTTCCCGGGGCTCCATCGTTTCCTGGGGCTCCTGGTTGCCCATCGGCTCCTGGCTGTCCTGGATGTCCTGGTTGTCCTGGTGGTCCTGGTGGTCCTGGTGGTCCGACCCCATATCCACCTCCTGGAGCTCCTGGATGTCCTGGCTGTCCTGGTGGACCTGGTGGTCCTGGTGGTCCTGGGCGGGCTCCTCCTGAGATGGCGTTCTTTCCTGGGTGTCCTGGTTCTCCAGCTGGTCCTGGAAGTCCATCTGGTCCCTTGTCACCTTGTGGACCGGCTGGTCCTGGAGCTCCAACGCCTCCTCCGTAGGCTGGGGCTCCTGGAGCTCCATCGTTTCCTGGGCGTCCTGGTTGTCCCATTGGTCCTGGTCGTCCAGGTGGTCCAGCCGGGCAAACCTTGCATCCTCCAGCTCCTCCACTGCCTCCACCAGCGGCTCCAGCGCCACCATTGTGTCCTGGCTGTCCTGGGGCTCCTGGAAGTCCGTCCAAACCTGGCTGACCTGGTGGTCCACGTGGTCCTGGTGGGCAGGTGTTGGATCCCTGAAGCGGCAATTTAGAAACAATCAAAATTAAGAGCGCATACTGGAGAGCATTGGCAACCGCCACCGTCACCGCCTCCTGGGAGGGCGTATCCTCTCTTGGATCTGGCAAACAAGAATGGGTTGGCGTTCTTTGGCATGATCACATCATTGATGGCGTTCCAGGCATGGTTGGATTTGTCCTGAACTTGTCAAGATTAATGTGTATGATCCCTTAGTTTTAGATTACCTTGAACAAGTTCATCTCGGCGAGAACATCGTCATTGAACGAGTTGACATCGTTGAAGATCTGAACGGCAAGGAAAAGGCACGCGATCACCGATGCACCCGAAATCACGACCGCCGCAGTGGCGATGTTTGTAGAAGCGGTCATTGCTGGCCAACTGTCTTTTCTCGTCGCATTCAGCTCCTTTTATACCGCTTTTTGGAATGGTGAATAGTCAAGGTCTCTCTCCCTCTTTCTCGTCGAATTCCGCTGTTTTTGCTAAACCAGTTAGCCTTTTTCGGGTCGTTCGAACGGCCTTCAAAACGAATTTCAGTTCATTTCATCATGCGCCTCTTTCAAATTCATACTATTTTCCTGATTACGTATCGGATACTGCCCAACGAAAATAAGGAAACCGTTGACATGATGTTTGAGTATGCAAGTTAACGAGAATCGACATGAGAGGCAAAGATGCGAAATTTGGTGATGAAAAATCGGAGATGCGATGAGTGGAAAACTTCCTTTTTCAGAGAGTCAAATTAGATATTGTCGGCGTCGCGCGACTGTAGATAATTGTCAAAAAAACATAATGAAAGTGGTCATGGCACAAAACTAAAAGTGGGTAGATTTACGGGAATAATGATAATTAAATTCTCACAAACCGAAAAATATTTCTAAATTTTTTTGGGAATTTAATCAATTTTTCACTGTCACCCGACGTCAATAATAATTTATAAAATAGGGTTAAAATAAATGGAAAATTCTGAAATCGTCGTCGGATTTGAAACGAATTCGAACATGAAACAAACTAAAAAAAACTTTATTTTTAAAAAGACGATTACAACGACATTTAGTCAGAATTTCGTCATATTCGTTACGCGAAAAATGAACTTATTTTGTCACAACGTGCAACTGTCGATTTTCGTTTTCGACGGAAAATTTCGTGAAAGATCGGGTAGATTTGCGAGCCGAAAAAATGTGAATTCGATTGATTTTTTGTTACTAGATTGCTTTCCACTTTTTGAAATCGCTAACTCAATTTTTAATGAAGAAGAATAAAATTTATTATTATTTCATAGTATTTAATGATACCCCTTGCTTCTCTGATAATCGTGCAAAAGTTCTTTAACATTTCCATTAAGCCAAAGTAGATTTCTGACTTCCTGCAAATCATTCTTAATAGAGAAAAATTGGAAATGAACAAACCGCTGGATGTTCATCACTCAGTTTGAGTATTGCCTCTGCCATCTCTTTCCGAGTTTTGCTCTTATCAGCCAATATTTTCTTCCACAAATCGTACACCTTCGGCAAATTAGCTATCATTTCTTTCATTTCTTTTTCTGCTTTTTTGAAACGAGCAGCTTCTTCGGCTTTCATTTTGTTGCGTTCATTCTTCAAAAATGATATAAACCAATTTGAGTTAAAAAATGACAAACCTCAACATTATAAGCCTTGGCCCATTTATCTAATTCCGCTTCATAGTCCTTAACAGTCACGCTTACGTCTCTTTTTATTTGAAAATACTTCCTTCTTCCTTCGTTAGTTTTTACTTTGTCAAGTAGCGAAGTTAAATGTGAGTGATGATCCTGCGGTCTTCCGGGTGCAGTTCTTCTTGCCATCCTTCCGGAACCGATCCGTTCACCATTTTCAAGGTATTCATGTTGTGCCACGGCGAGCCCAAACAGAGCAATTAAGAGCACAACAAATTGATTGAATATAAACATTGTTTCAACTTGTATGCAGATTCGTCATAATTTATACCCACCTCGTGAATTCCGCCACAAATTTTATTCGCCTTTGTCTTTCATCTTATTTTATGAATAGTTTTATCGATGAATGACGGTAATATTTTCCGATGCAGATTGGGATATGTAAATAATTCAGGCATTTCTTTTATTCCAAAAAAATATTGATTTTTATTCAATTCATGACATGAATTAATCAAAAATGTATGAGGAAATGTGTTTCAAATTTTAGTTATTTAAAACTTAAGCTTTTGAACTTTGGAAAAAATTAACTTCAAATACTTCGTTTCTCATCTTTCTTAATCCAGAGTTATGATTTCTGAAAAAAATCGCAGTTTGAGAAATGAATATTCTTGGACATTAACCTTCATCCGATTTTCTTTTCCTTGAATTTGGAGCATGAGAAAATTTTGTGCTTTTTGAATCTGAAACTTTGTGAGGATGTTCATTAAAAAGAATTAACGAAAACTACCAGAAGGCTTGCCAAACATAGATTCATCGATTGGTAGTGGTTTATGATCAAAGATCGAATGCGACTGGAAAATTGTTAAAAGACCGTGCGTAAAAATACTTACAATCATTTGAATTCCTGAATTTCTTGCATGTGCCTAAGCTAAGTGTGATTATAAGATTGTTATAGACAAAACCGATACCCTTTCGTTGAACGCGATGAGTTGGATATCATCATCATCATCACATTCGTTTTGAATATTAACCATTTTTAAATTATTGTCTTTAGACATCTAAAACAATAAACATTTTAAGTTAAAAAAATAAGTTGAGTAAAAAAAACTTCATTTCCAGGTGCTTCAATCTCTTTCTTTTCGTCATTATTGGGAATTCTGAAATTATCTTTAAATTAATATTAATACTGTAATAACAATATATGTAGTAATGTAATTACTTCGCGATTTCGTCGAATAATAAACTATCATCCATTGCTTCGAATACAACTGATTCATCGGTTGCATTACTAAAAAAATATGATTTCATTTTATGAAAAACCCTACAACTAACTCATCTGTTTGTACGCTAGTAGCCGAGAAACACAGATTTATCTGTTAATATTTTCAAACATTTAAAATTTATAAAGTATTTACATACTTACAGCGATATTTTGTGAAAAATCATCAATATTCTGTGAATTGATCTCTTTCGTCGACTCGTCTTTGGAGCAATCGTCCTGTAAATAAGCGCAAACTATAAAATATATAAACGAAAGAAAAATCAACTATTGGTTTAGGCTCGAGATTGCTCCTTTCTTGGAAATGCATTTTAATTTCATCATTCTAAAAATGAAGCATTGAATGGAAATGGTGTAAATGAATACCTTGTTGCGAGATGGTAGCGGTTCGATGATATTTTCAACAGAGACTGAATCATTCAAACTCTTTATGCCTTGTTGAAGAGACTGATAATTAGACAAAAACTAATTAGGCAAAATATTTTTAAAATAAATTAGATCACTTCATTTTGATAGCAACAGGTCTGCATCAGCTGTTTTTCGCCATCAACTTCCAAATTCTCATCAGTTTTCGCAATCGTCTACAAAATTAATTGAATAAATATAATAACAACCAATCTTTCTACATTTTCACTGCGCTTTTTTATTTTCGATGAAGTTTTGAAAGATCTTGTCAAAATAGGCTTTATCCATTCCAATTTGCCCCGTAGCAAATCGGCATATTCAAGGGTATGTTTAGCTGCAAAAATTGTTCGTTGATGTATAATTATCTCTTTGTTTGAATACTTTTTTTGCTAGAGTTTTCAGTTTCAACACCAAAATCTTCGAAAAGCCAATCTCGAATTATTTGCTCTTTTCGTTGAAGATCTTGTACAACTAATTCATTTGTGTCATCATTGGCATTCTTGTCAAATCGTAATTCTCGGTCACCCATTTCTTCTATCTCCCTTTGAACATTCTTAAGGGGATTTGTGTATATTTATTCAACTTACAATAACAAAAAGACCTACCTTTAGCATATCTACAAGTAGGTCAATTCGCTCTTGGAAGTCTCGTCTACTTCCTAAATATTGCATACATTTTACTTATTAATTTTGTATAGTTATACCCATGAATAGCGAATTGTCAGTATTATCCGTTTTCTGCAAAGCAAAATATGAGCTGAACTTTGTGGCGACAGATTCTGATTGATCGGCAAACGCGTTGAATGAGACAATGACACACTCGATTTTTAGGAAAATTACTAACTTTTTCTATTTTTTATGCCACGTTTCATCCGATACTTTTGCAGAGAGCTGTTTTTTCTTTCAAAAAGAGACCACTCGAAAATCCGTGCGAGAAAAACGGTGGAGTTTTGTCAGCCGTTTAATAATAGGAAAATATTCGCAGCTTCTGCCAAACGTCAGAAACATCACTGTTTCTTCTGTACGAATTTCTGAGCCTATTATTAAATAGATTTAAAATATATTTCGTTGAAATAAAAATAAACAAAAAATTAAAAACAACATCTCGACATTTATATGATTACGGTTAGTTTAAATTGTGCAAAAGAATCTGACGACATATTACGGACTTCGTAAATATCGAAAACGCATTGATTAATGATGTCACATTGTCGGAGTCAAACGACTTGACGAAATTAAAAAAATTATTGGCTATGTGCCAATGCGTCTTGAGGCAGCGAGAAGTACGCGAAACTGCGTACATTGTATTATAGTGTACGCGCATTTAATATTCAGTCAACAAAAAATCTAAATCTACACTGATTTCGGGATTTTGAAGACCCTGCCTCCCTTCTTCAGTCGTTTGACGCCGACAATACATGATTTGTTAAAAAAAATCAATTAAAGCACTTTGATTTTTGTTGAATTTACTCAAACAATACAGATAAATTTTTAAAAATTGTAGGATGAAATACGATCAAAATAAAGACAGCGATGATAAAGATTGGTAGAGTTGTAGGTCCATTTTTTGTATTTATTTGAATGAAAATGATTTTATTAGCAAACAAGTAGTATCAGAAATTCATCAAGACGTTTCTTAAGGCGGTATTTGTGGTCCTTCTGAAAAACTGTTGGCCACCAAATCCTTGTCGTCCACCATTTCCATTTTGCATCTGCTGACCGTTCTGCCGGTTTTCAAAGCCTCCTGTCTGTCTGTTGAATCCTTCTGGTCCACTCTGTCCACCTTGAAATTGCTGTCCGCTTTGCTGACCCCCAAATCCTTGCCAATCGCCTTCGCTACTCTGTGGCAGTGCACCATTTTGCTGTCCTCCGAGTGTTCCAGGTTGTCCGGTAAAATTATTCAATCCAGTCTGTCCATTTCGAGATGGCTGTCCGTTTTGTCTTCCGAAGACTCCACTCTGTCCTTGTACTCCTGTCGGTGATTGCTGCCCATTGAACGGGAATCCTTGCTGACCATTTTCAGTTTGCAGCGAGTCCATTTCTTGCCCGCGAGTTTCTTGTCGACTGCCAGGTCTGGCGGCAACCAGATAAATCACGACGGAAAGCACGATGAGCGAATAATATGACATTTTGGTTTAGAATGTCAAAAGCGAATATTAGTTTTCCTTTTATAGTACCGTGCGAGTCAATTTATGACTCATCGCTCATCATTCTGGCACTGATGTTCGATGCGCATGTTTTGTTTGCGCAACTGAACAGTTTCACCGAAATTATTAAATTATGATGAGTCAAAAAGAAAATCAATCGAATTGTTGTGCATGCCACATTCGATTCGGGCCGCACCGCGACATTCGTGGAACCATTTTCTGAATTGCCGTCACCGCTAAATTCACACGGCAACAAACAGGCGATTGTGGAGTATCGTCGAAAATGTCCGTAGATGTCAAATGAAATTTATCAGAGCCCCCATTTTTACAATCCTTGTCAATAGAAATTTATTGAGGTTGCCGAAAGATTGGATTTCCTTTGGAAATTCTTGGCGCAAACTAATATTAAATTGCAATTCTAGGTGTATATTTTCCTGTTCTGTAGTTCGCAGCCATATTTTAATTCTTTAAATCGAATTTAAAATTATTTTAAGTGTACATGTGGGGGTGTGCCTGAATTCTCTTCCGAATTTGTCGAGTTTCGCAATTTTCATTATTTTTAAGAAAAATTATTGGCACTTTCCACGTGTTTTGATAATGATTCGCTACATACATACATAAATACTTTGAAAACATATAGGTGAGGCAAAACATTAGTGGAGCAGTGTATTTTCGATTTATGGAAACCATTTTCCAATTTTTGTTACAAATTGAATTTTTCGGAATGTTTGGTATCGAAATTGCTAAATTTACTTTTTTTCGCCAAAATTTAAAGAAAAAATTATATAATTTATTTTTATTCTAGTAATAAAACAAAGATTACGAACGAAGAAGTATTCAGAAATCGTCTCGACGTCATCTCCTTGATTTGACTAATTGGTCAATCAATTGCAAGATGATGAATCCAAAAAGCTCTCCATCATCATCGTCGTCGAATTACCCCGGTTATTCATTTCAAACTACTGCCGCACTGTAGATCTGATGAATCCCACTGCGATGAGAAAGTGCAAGATTTTGGAATAATTCGTCAAAACGTTTCACAGATTCTCAAAAGTTAAAAAAAATTAGCGCGCCAATTTAAAATTTTTTTGCTCAAAAACCATTACATACCAATTTTTTTTTAAGAATCCATTAAAAATATTAAAAAGTGTGCAACTTTTGATCGATTTCCGCGTTTTCTATGAATTCCATTAGAAGTTGAATAGAATCAGGAGTAAACTAGAAGCCAATCAACCTGTAGAACAAGCTGGGTTCCGCAAGGGCTTCTCAACAGTGGATCACATCCACTCTGTCCAAAGACTGCTAGAAGTGGGACGAGAATATCAAATCCCACTCACACTTGTCTTCGTTGATTTCAAGAAGGCGATCGACAGTGTTGAGCATTCAGCAGTGTGGCAGAGCCTAAGAGACCAAGGCGTTGAAGAAGCGTATATCCAGCTACTCCAAAGTTGTTACTCTGACTGTTCCACAAGCATCACGCCATTCCATCGACAGGTAGAGATACCTGTTCGAAGAGGAGTAAGGCAAGGTGACCCAATCTCGCCGAACCTTTTCTCCGCGTGCCTGGAGCAAGTTTTCCGTGAATTGTCTTGGAGTCAATTCAAAAACGACTCAGAAGACAATACGAACACTCCAGGATTACGAGTGAATGGCCGCAACCTCACACACCTGCGGTTTGCAGACGACGTCGTGCTCATAGCGCACAGTCCGCAAGCGGCATCCGAGATGCTAAGTGAGATGGTTGCGAGATGCGAACAAGTAGGGCTCCAGATTAAAGCTGGAAAGACCAAAGTCCTACGTAACCCGTTCGCAGACTCCGCCAAGGTTACCCTAACGCACCAGAATTCGGTCAGTATCATTGACGATGTTGACGAATACGTGTACCTTGGAAGACTACTCACCCCCAAAAACGAGCTAGTCAAGGAGATCTTCCGAAGGAGAAGAGCAGCTTGGGCAGCGTTTAATGGAATCAAGAACACCACCGATTTGATTTCCTGTAACAAAACCCGCGCACAGCTCTTCGATTCCCATTTCAGAAGTGAAAAATCAAAATTAAATTAGAGAAAAATTTATTGGAATAAACATGTGGATTTATTCAGAATCCGTCGCATCAGAATTCTTGTTTTTCTTGTTCTTCTTGTTCTTATTTTTATTTTGTTTCTTCTTGTTGTTTCGCTCTCCTCCAGCTCCTCCCTGTTGTTCTTCTGGTTCGAAGTGATTAGGACGACCGATTTGCATGAGAGTATCAACTTCCTAATTGACAATGATTATGTATAATTGTTAAATAGATTTCACTAACCAATGGATACTGTTGGTGAAGATTATCAATAGTTTCTCTGATTTGGGACTGAGTTTGATCCTTATTGTCAAAGATTGCCTGAAGAGAAGATTGAACAGAAGGCACGTTGGAGATCACAGTAGAAATGTTTTGCTTCTTCTCATTTTCAAAAGCAGTCTTGTTCGACTGAACTTCATTGTAAAGATCCTGAAAATGGAGACTAGAAGGTGAACGAAAGTTGAATATCTTACAGATACACCATTTGTTTGGGCCCATTGAGCAGTTTGCGATTCAATTTCGCGAATGGTCAAATTCTCGTTGGAAACAATTTCGAAGAATTCTTTGCGAGCCTCATCAGTAACATTTTGAAGGAATGGCAACGGTGGGCCTCTTGGTCGCCCATTGTCAGGTTGTTGGCCGCCGAAACCGCCAGGAGCATTTTGCTGTCCACCGAATCCTTGTGGACCAAATGGTCCCTGTTGTCCGTCAAACTGGGCAGCGACCAAACAGAAAAGAAATGAAAGTTGAGGGACTCGATAAAGAGAAATCATTGCGAATACTGTACATGTGAAACATTCGCTGGTTTTATACCACTGAATAAATCCCCCGCCTGTATTGTAATCCGAAACTTTGTCACTGATGTTCGACACGTATGTTTGAACTCAACCGTTTCTTTTTTGAATGGTACCGTTGAAATATTGAACTTCTGAAATATTTTTAGAATTCCTTAGTTTTATATCGCTTCTCTTTTTCGCGACAATTCTCTTCATTATACTAGATTTAGTTACAAAAAAATGAATTCTGCAATTAAAAAAATGTTTTTGAACTGTTTCTTTTCGCTAAGTTGTAAATTTTTGATTTTTTAACTCAGCAGATATACACGCATTCCGAACTGTTTGCAGGCTTGTCATTTCGGTTGGCAGCCTGCCAAAACAGGACCGGTTCGTCTCGATCGGACTCATGCATTTTGCTCATATTCATAAGTAACTATCAAGTTTAATCAAATATTAAATCAATTGCATATCAAAACTATTCAATGACATTCGTTTCAAGACCATCCTTTTAAGAACGAATTTTTTATTCGACTCCACAACGACTTGGCTTCAAACCACAAGTCTGATTTTAAGTCAAAAATCAATAGGTAGAGAAAATGAGAGTCGGTAGTCATATTGTGGAATTAAAAATGAGGGTCGAAGACAAAAATTGAAAGTCAAGGAATATTAATAGTATTAGAATTATAATTGCGGTATATTCGCAGCTGTACTGCAGATAACTGTTGAATTAAGCTCGTGTTTTGGTTTGAATTTTCCCAGTGTAATCGTTTGAAACACAAGGTTTTTCCTGAATTTTGCGAATAAAATCTAGTGAGACCTAAACAGAAAAACTCACTTTAACATTTCAACAACTTTTAGGCGATATGTCGGATTGGAGATGATCAGAATACTAGAGCTCAACAAAGAATGGCTGCCGAGCAAAAACATTGAGTCAGTCGCCATTTCTGGAAAAAATCTCTATTATTATACAAATTTCTAAAAAAAATAAAAAACAAATTTGAATACCTTGATACTCGTGTAGATCTTTTGCTACAACAACTCCTATAAAATAAATTGGTAGAATAATAACGAGTACAGGAATAGAACACTTCAAATATTATAAATTCATAGTTTGTTTTAATAAATTGTAAAACACCTGCAGTAGCAAACTAATTAGCGCGGATTTGTGCATATTAAAACTTTGATCCGACATATGAAATTTTAAGTTTTTTAGAATTATTATTGTGTCGGATGTAAGATATATGAAATATCTGAATGATTCAGCTTTAATTACAGCAGGGTTGAGTAATACTTACGATGAAGTGAAGAATAAGAAAACGACAGCTACAATTCCAATAATTCCAATCCAGACGTTGATACGAAACTCGTAATATGCGAATCCTTGAATTGTCAAAACATGCATGCATTTCGGAAAATACTGAAAATCGAATTCATTCGAGAGATTCGATAAGCTTTTTTTGTAACCGTCTTTAAACCCTGATACGCTTGCTCGTCGGTTAGTTTTGCCAAATGAATACAAAAAGCAGTGGCAAATGGAAAAATGTGGGTGAACATCAGAAATCCGTACATCAGAGATTTTCGCGGTTTTCGACTCTGAAAATAAAACACGATGTTGGTTGGAATGGTGCACAAGATATTGGTTATACCGGATCAAGATCGGCTACACAAACATTCCTATAAAGGAAGCATGAGAGATAAGCAGGCAATTCGAAACAAAATACAAAGAGATAGAAAACCTGAACAGTTTTCGGTTACATTCTTCCCAACTTGATATTTTAATACCGCACTGATGTGACCTGAAATATAGGCGGTAAGAAAGGAAGTGCTGTATCCACCCAGCATCGGGAAGAAATAATATCCCGGACAAATGACGGACATGTAGATTTCCGTGACGAACATGCAAATCTAAGAAAAATATCAATTTTCTCTTTCTTCGTTTTTAAAGAAATTACCTGAACGTACAACAAACAGAAGCGATATTTCGATGATTTTGGCGAATTATACCAAACAAGGTATAGTGCGAGAACGTTGACTGGAACCGAAACAGCCGCTACAGTATGCAGCACGAATGTATAATAAGCAGGAGCTTTGGTGGGGCATTCAAGTTGAGACATTTTTTTGGTCTGCGAAGTCTTTAGACCGAAGTCTGATCTCTAAGCTCAAGACTTCAAAAAGAAAGATCACGTAGTAAAAGAGAAGCAGTTGGAAATGGGACACATAACAGCTGAAAATTTTAACCAGAATACTTTATTATAGGGTGTGAAATATTCACCCGGAAATTTAGTACAGGCTATATTTATAAAAAAAATACATGTGTATCTTGTGATTGCGTATTTTCAAATTGAGTCACTTTTCAATTAAAACTTTTCTAGGAATTCGAAAAAATTCTAATGATGGGGGAGGGGGTAACCGCTTAAAGCAGACATAAATCGCTGAAACTTGTAAGAAAGGGAAAAATTAAAAATAAAACGGATATGCCATTCTACGGGCTCATGATCTTCGACTTTGACTTCTCTTCGAGTTTTGGACTCCACATTCGGACTACCGAATTTGATATTATTCAGTTTCTAATCATTTGACTCTCAGCATTTATTTTAAAAAATAAATTTTGAATAATAAATATATGAGTGTCTTACTACAAATCACCTTGATTCAAAAAACATGTAGTAGCCTCGGAATAGTTTGGCATTTTCGGTCCTGCAAGGACACCTAAAATTTGACTAAAAAGATTATCTATAAAATAGGCCCAGCCAAGGTGCTGGCGAAATTGGCAGTGATGAAAGTCAGATAAAAGTCGATTGCCAAAATGCAAGATTCAAAGAACATGGGGCAAATTCGAAATCATTACAAATGTATGATCTACCTGAAATATTTCTGCGCTTATTATCCGTTACTAAATATTTTCACGAGTTCTCGCTACGTCTAGGGGATCCGGAGTACAGGGCGACGAGTTTGGCGGCTTTCATACTTTCTATTACCATCAAAAAACAAATGAGCGTCTTGCATAATTTTCGATCATCGCACCTTTTCGTAAATCAGCAAAAATCGTTTTTTTTTTTTGACGAATGTAACAAGTCAATGTAGATTATGCCAAATTCCGGTATGGGTTTGAAAAAAGAAACCGACAAATAGGTTCATTTTTCTAGAAAATCTTCTTTGTCAAACTTCAGATGTCTGCGAAATCAACAATCTGTAATTATTCGAGACCACAATTTATTTAATCATTTGAATTCATTTTTGTCATATTTTTAATAAATTTATTTTTTTAAATTGATACTAATAAACATTCTATTTCTGGTTTCGTGGGTATGGTTGGAATGAAGGCCTCGTTTGAAACCGGAAATATTTTTTTAAGAATATTTCAAGGAGGAGAGTATCAATAAAAAAAGTATTCTTTTAGACAAAAAATTCATTATTCACAATAATAAATAAAACAAAATAATACGATAGAAAGAATTAAAAAAGAATAGAAGAAGCGCACCGTAAATGAAAAATGCATTAAATTAATAAATGCTAAGTCGAAAAGAACGAACGTAAATCACAATTTGGTTTAGATAGTTGGCGATTATTCGGGTAATCTAGGCCCTAATTAAGAAACAGTACATCTTGAGCTTTTCTTCTTTTTCGCCATTCGGACGCCACCGCCAGGCTGCATCATTGGCTGTTTTCGATTTGGAACCTTAAATTTGAACAGGTTTTGAACAAATTTTTGAGGGGCTGCTCGTACTCTGCTCAATGAAGCGGCCGCCATCAAATTCGAAATATATAATTCCTCGTCTTCCGAATCCGACGAAGAAGTGCTGAACGAATCATGCATGTTCGGAGCTCTCATGAATTTGTTCGGCGTTTTACTATAATAGTTGCTCGGCGAGGTGGGAAGCTGAAATTTTTTTTAAATTAAACAATTCCTCATTTTTGATGCATACATCTCCGGGATATTTCTTCTCAAACTCAGGGCTATTCGATGATGAGCAAGGAAGTACAGTTTCATAAATATTCTCAGAAGGTGGCGGTGGCGGGGCGCGTTGTGGAGGCTTCGGCTTCTGCATTTGACGGTGTGGGGCCCTCGGGGAAGCAGGAATTCTAGAATTTGTTTTGTTTTAAATATTTTTTTCGAAATTATTGCATTACCTAACAACTTTGGTTGTCTTCTCAATCAATCGTCGGCGATTCGGCGAGCCCAATCGGTCCTCCTCAAACAGCTCATCCTCTCCTCCACAAGTCTTGTAGCCACAATATAAATGTTGGCCGACCAAAGAATACTTGACTCCCAGCAAGTTTTTGGAGCAAACGCAACAACAGAAGCATTGTCCCGAAGCGTGCCAATGAAGATCGCCTTGAGACATGTGTGGAGTCTCAACGGGAAAACTTGCGCGGCACGTAGTGCACGTCAATGTTGTTGTGCTCGAGTTGAAGCATTTTAAGCACACCGGCTTATTACCCCTGGAAACAAGGCGCGATGTCTTTTTTTCCGTTTGAATTTCAAACTACCTTTGCATATATTTTTGACCTCCCAGCACATCATTGCACTGTGCGCATTGGAAATGATGAAGGTGCCAAGTTCGGCCTTCGGCTTCAGTGCACTCCTCGCCGAATATCAGCTGCAACAACCCAAACTTTTTGATGAATTTATTATTTGCACATGTCTCTTGGTGTCGGATTTCGAAAATAATGATGAGCCATAAACTCTCACAAGGTCCAGATGCGCGCACAAAAGCGCGGCAACATTTTGAGTAATCTCACAGTATTTTTCAAAACACAGACACCATATAGCAAGCATTCATAATGAAATCCTTGAACTTCAACTTCTATTGCTTAACTACACCGAATCTCAAACATTTCGGCAGCACGCCAGGCGAAAAACGCAAAAAAAAGAAATAGTCGGTCGCAAAATGGACCATAAACTGCCAGATGTGTGCCAATGGCAAGAGCAAGTTGCGATGATGGCGGCAATTCGGCACGTACCTCGTCGCATTTCGCGCATCTCGGTTTCAGTTGTTCGGCGTGATGTCGGCCACAATAGATTTGATTGTCATTCGAGAAATAGATCAAGTCGACGAGAAGCGCATCGCACTCTTGGCAGCGGAAGCATGCCGGATGATAGACATGACCTGTTCTCGTCGCCGCCACACAAAGTTCCCCTTCATCCATTGAATTGTTACACTGAAAAAAAAAATAATAATAATAAAAATAAACAATTTCGATAATTGTCATATTTGGCAAGCCCCCAGATAAGTTTGAAAGTGTTTCTCAATCCCGAGGTATGGCGAGCCCATTGTAATGCCACCACTTCTTGCATCATCATCATCAGCATCATCACAGCAACACAACACAAAACCCGGATTATGACAGCTAGCAGACGGGCGGGACAACACGACGGAAAAAGTTTAATAGTATCTGTCGTCGAACCCGCTACCAATCATGAAAAATCGCACATTTGGCATCGACGCCTTGGTGCGAAAACTTAATTTCCGGCCAACATCAAGCGCGGTGCACAAAGAGCAACGCGATATTTCTTCTCGTCTTATTAGTCATGTTTGCTCTCGTGCCCTTTTAAGGCAGACGACAGTTACCATGACCGGATTATCGCAAAGGCTCGTCGGCTGGTATTAGAAAGCGGATCGCGCGACAGGGCATTGATTACAGAGCGATGTCCCCCGCTCATCCGCTAATCCTATTAGTCGTGTCCGTTGTCTGTCCGTCCATCAAAAAAATTGTTTCGAGAGACATTCTCATAAATCAACCAATTAGGAATTGCAACAATTCACTAAGAATGCTTGCCAAAAATTTGCATAATGCCTCGAAAAATTGAGCCCATTTGCGCAGATGCCTATCGAGATCATTATCTTGGCAGTGTCGAGGGTCCCAACAAGAAACTTGTAACCCAAACAGCACCTGGCTCAAGTATGCCAGACGGTTCTTGAGAGTCCTTTTTTGGGTGGGATGCTGGTTTGGGGCTATCGCGTTTCCCAACAAGGCCATCTGTTGGCAGCTGGTATTGTATGCATACTGGGCGAAAGTTTAGTTGGAAAATGGTAAATATTTCAGTATCACTAATATATTTGCATAACTATACGCCACTTGACCACCGCGTAATCCGTTCTATTGTTTGGGAACTGTTCGATAAGCCAAAGACTGTTATTGAATGAAGAGCACTGAGGAAAAAAGAACATCTGCGTTATTCTTTTTCATATTCTAATTTTCGAAGAGATTGCTAGAATTGCAAAAATCGAATCCCTCGAAGAACTAACCGAGAACGTTTCTTTCAAGTTTTTATTTTGATGTGTTCAAACTTTACAAGAAAAAAAGCAAAATAGAATTGCCAAAGTTGTTTTTTTTCCTCATTTCTCATCGGCGCCATACAAAAAAAAACGCCCTGAACTTTTCTTGTTTCTTCCCTATAAATCATTCGCTTCTCCCTAAGCCTCTTTTCCAATTTCAGGAGCCATCTCGCGCACCACCAGCTCATCATTATTGTTGGCAATCTGTTGTGTGTTCGTTGTAGAATGCCATTAATAAATATGGGATGCGCTAGTGTAGATAATCACACCAGTTGAATGCATACATAGGTAATTAGTAGCTGTGCTCGAGATTGCCAAGATGGATTGCTAGTAAATGGGAGCGAAAAAAAACCAAGCCGAAAAGGGCGGTTCATTAAGATGAGCTCTCAAGTATACATTGTTTATAGTCAAGTAGAGGGCAGCCCGAAAAAAAAGAACGGCGAGACCACGCTTCTTGGCGCACTCAATTTATGACCGACGGTACGCTTTTGAGGATGAGAGGGGCTCGAATTGCGCATTGTATATTATAGGCTTTATGATTTACTATTGTTTTGGACCCAATGGGATGGGAAAAGATTAAGACTGCTAAATAATATTCGGATGCATCTCTGTGTATATTGAATGTAGTTATGAGTGTTTGCATTATTCACCTACGATTTTCGAATTCTGCGGATATAATGCGCGAATTGAATGTGTCATATTCCGCTTCGATTGTTTCAATCATATTAGGCAGACATGCCCAAAATTGGAGGGATGATTGAATAGAGGCCCTACACTCTCACACACATCAACACTTCTTCAATTGCCAAATTGACTCTTGACGAAGCATTGTCAACAACATTACTATTATTATATCATAAGCGATTGGCAGTGATGATCGACTCGAATTTCTCGATGTCAAGCTGACGCACCTTTTTGCAATTGTAGTTTTTGCCGTCGAATGGCACGTGCTGCACAACTCCGCGTCCAAGACATTCGGTTTTGCGACCTCTTTCGAACATTCTGTGATACAAATGTTTGATTCCAAGGAATGTGCCATCTGGAATGTACCTTAACTCATCAGCTTCATCCTTGCTGAGACCCTCGCAATATCGCACATCCGAATCCTGTGGCGGTAATTGCGCGCGAAGCTGCCGCTGCCGCCATTTCTCGCCGACACTTCCCACATACGGTATCTTGTTTTCGGGAAGGCACGCAAAGTAGGCGTGAACCTGCAAAACGGAACTTCAAATTCTGTTGTCGTCCAAAAACAAAGAATGCTCATCAATTAAGTGGACGCAGACAGTTCAATTTCAATTTCAATTTCAAACACGAACACCGTTGTGAGTGAGTGACCTTCTGCGTGCGCCAACAGATTTTTTACACGATAATGAGCGACAAAAACGTTGTGTGCGCGACGTGCAAAAAAAAGCGACTTTCGATTAATTAGCCAATTTGAATGAAAATCTGACCCAGTGAAAGAACACCTACCATGTCTGGCTTGAGCCCGCTTGGAACCCACGCATATTCTTCTAGAACGCATCCGGAATCATCATCGGATGTTGAATGACGGTGCACATCAGCGGCGATACGAATACGAGACGCTGGAGAAAGACCTCCTTGATCACGACGCGAAAATTCGGCTCGAAGTCGGGGAGCTGCGCTAGGCTCGCCTTCAGCAAGACGGCGTCGTCGCACACGATCGCTCATAGTACGAAATGATGCGACGTCCTGAAAAATGAAAACGGTAGAATGCATAAATGTGTAGAACAATCAAATTAACGATTTTGACGAGCGCGGTCATAAAAAGACGACACGACGCGGTACGTTCCTCCTTAAAACGGGCTTCCATAGACGGCACGCGCGGCGCGCCCACAAACACCCGAAGACAAACGAATACCGTTTTATGCAAATCGGCGAGAAAACAGGAACGCTCAAGGTAACAACTAGTTGAATGACAGATTTGTTGCATAATGGGATGAGATGTAATTAAAGTGAGGTTGATAAATTGAAGAGTTTGCGGTGGAGGCTATATAGATTGAATGCATCAAAACTTGACTTATGAGTGTTGCAAAAACAATGTCGGGCAGATGTTTTGGGACCAGCTATCTATTCGGATGGTTGTCCTTCGTTTTACACCCATCCCACACCTTTTGCGCGATAATTGCGCAGTATTTACAGCGCTTAATTGCGGCTCAATTGTCTGGTACCATCTCGGAACAATGTGATCCATCCGCAGGTTTAATGCAACTTCTGCACCTGTACCCCAGAAATGATGAGTCTCATGAAAGGGAAGCAAGAGAAAGAAAAGAGCATAAATGAAAATTATGGAAAACATGGAAAAATAATTTATTTATTGGGTACGGTAATCAGTATCTGAATACACTAAAGCACAAAAATGCAGATCATTTTATTTTTTAAATATTACTCTCGTTTTTAGTCGATACATTTTTATTACAAATGAAATACTATTTTGCAGGGTTGAATAATGAAAAAAAATTACCGCATTCTTATATTGTGTATACAAAGGCGGAAAAAATTGGAAAGAATGAATGAAACTGAATAACAAAAGATGCCTTGGCCCTCTTACTCATACAGTCAACAAACTTGAAAAAAATCAAGACGCATAATTATGAATCGAGAAGAAGCCTACAGTTTAGGGGCACAAATGTTCAAGGGTTCAGATGTCAGAATGTTTTTCGACAAAATGCGGGGCAACGAGAAGAGTGCGAGAGAGTGCGGCGCGCATGATGGATCGAGTAAAATGGGCGGGATTTCGGCGCTTAGGCGGGGCACGTCGGCACGGTTTTTATGCGGGAGAAAGAGCAGCATGGAGCAAGAGAGGTGCCGAGCCATGCCAAGGTGGCTCACAGATTGATGAGATTCGATAAACACAAAGGTGTCGGCTTCAAGATTATGATCAATTTCATGATTGATTTGAATGCGATCAAAAGGTTAATCCGCCGTAAGATGTAAGCAAAAGGGCAAAATTTCTATAATTAAAAACTAATTACGTCGGATAATCAACAAACTAAGAAAAACTCATAAAAATTTGATTCAGGCAAGTATAAAAACGGATAGGAAAAAGCAACAAATGTGCAAAAAAAATCAGTATAAACTGGACAAATGTACGTTTTAAGCATTATTTGAACTGAATGACGTGAGTTTTGTAATTTGAAATACCATTTAGGTTTTCGGAATACACAAGAAAAACTCGAGGAATGTGAAGTCAGCTGCACCAGCTGATAATTATTGAGATCAATAAGGAATTACTAAACAAAAAGTATGTATCATATGAATCAATAAAATAATGAAAAAAGAACCTCACATTTTAACAAAATTTCAAGGCAAATTACCAGAAAGAAACGACAAATCGGTAAACGTCGACTCGAATTAGGCGCATTTTCCCAAGAAACAGTTCGCCCATCTTGCCAGCATCGATTCAACTCAACTCGCATCGTCGAGTCCACGCCTTTTACCGTTTTTTGTTCACACCCCATTTCAAAACAAATGCATCTTGACGAGGCCAAAAGTTTGATGGCGAACGACAGCCTATTTTGGTATAGGTATAGTATTATTATATACGACGCACACAGATGAGGTGATGGTGCGCGCATTTCGTCTGGCTGGTGTCTATGTCGTTTGGCGGGAGGAGGTGAGGCCCGCAAGAGTCCGTCCCGGCCTGGGGAACGGCCGTCTCTCGTATAAGTATATGATAGTATATAAATATAAACAAATGATAATATGGGCGACGACGGGAAACGGGGAAAAGAAGGCACGATGGGCCGATGAGACGCAGAATCGCGCACAAATGTGCTGATAGGCATCGATTTGCATGTAAATCGAGGAAAAAAAAGAAGACGCAATCATCCGGAATCGGAAGATATTTTACAATATACATGCATATAAGCTAGCACTTTACAGAGTGTTGTTTATAGTGGAAATGAATATTCCGGTAATTTATAAGTGTCGAATTTCGCGGTGCCATCTAAACAAGCTAGTTATATGTGATATCTAGCACATCGCAAATCTAAAACGAAAAAAAAAATCAGGAAATGTGTCGAGTTGATCGTAAACCACTCATACCAAATCAATCGGAAACGAAAAATTCTATAATTTATGATTAGCACATTTTGGATGAAACTGGGGGGAACATTCTGATGGGTTAAGAGGAAGTGGATGACGGGTTGAGCATCAAAATGAGAATCGAATGTATTACAACAATTGCGACACGTTGGATTAATGAAGACACAAGTTTAATTATTCGCGAGTTGCGATGATCGATCCGACGTTTTTGAGAGGAATGTCAATACGGAAATTGGATTACATTGGCAGAAAAAAATCCGGTTAGCTGATGTCGATAATGTAGCAAAAAAAATTTTTTTTTGATCAAATGGTGGAGCCACAAAATTTAATTTTTGTTCTTTTTTATTAGGCGCAGTTACTTGAATTTGCGTATAAAATTTATTTTATTTAAAAAATTTGAATTCTTGAATACTAGCTGAATATCTCATTTTCTAAAATTTGCTCACCTCAGTTGAGGCGTCAAAAATTGAACAAGTGGTGGCGGCGATAAAAAATTTAAATATTGGCCCCACGATAATCAAAGCCAGCAGACGGACCACCTAAGCCATTCGATTGATGATGGCTGACACAAAAATAACATTGGACGTGGAGACGAATGAATGAGGATGGCGAGCATCTGTCGTCAAAAAATCTGATTCGTTTTCCATCTCGACTGCTATCGACCACGACCTAAACGATTCGGCGCCTCCGGGGAGGCCAAACATTCGCGTTTTTTTTTTCGATTGCGAAAATATCGCAAAATTCGCGGAGAATAGGTGTGTTTTATGTATGGATGAATGGGTTGGATTCGGGTGGATTCGGGTGAGGACGAGTTGATGATCGGAGCGGGCGGCGCAAAAAAAAAATAATAATAATAATAATCGACGGAGAAAAACGAGCGACGACATTTTGAAGAGGATATTTGAGGGCCGAGATGACCACTTTATATTAGTTTTTTTTCCTCTCTCTCATTCGCAAAAAAATTGGAGCACGAGCACAAGAAGGTGGAGCATCGCCACCACAAAATTACATGATTTTTGTTGAGCACCACACTCATAAGCACTAAGACCACATAAGACGGGGGAAAACAGCTATATGTGTATGTGTTTGTGTTGTTTCAAAACCCAAATGCCCAATCCCAAATATGGGAGGAAGGCGAGAGGATTGGAGAAGGGCACGTGTCGCCGATCTGCTAGCGGCGGTCAGATTTTATCTCATCCCACCATCGGTCCTGTTTTCGCGTTCGCGAGTCCGCCTAGATCTGACGCCTTGAATTTTTCGTCGTCATTCGTTTTTAGGCGAAATACAAAGTATTCGTTCAGAAAAATCGAACCGTGTCTTTATGTGAAGCGTGGGAAAGAGACGCGCGCGCACTCGCACGAGATTGCGCTTGTAAAGGTAATGTGAAAATGTTGAGAAACTAAATTGAATGAGAAATTTCCGCAGGTTTTACTAGCCACTATTTTCTTTAAAACAACTTGATTTTGAATTGAACAAATTGCGCGAAAATCGTGGAGGAAGAAGTTCGCACAGTCAATCAATTTTGAAGTAAGCGACCTTGTCAAAAAAAAGAGAATCGTCCTTGAATATTTATCAAATTTTATTAGGATCGACACATTCGAATATTTTAGAAAACCCAATTTCTTGAAAGAAGGGGGGAAAAATTGTTGTGGAATTAAAAGAAAAATGTTTACGAAATGCTCATGAAAACCTCATAAGACCGGAACAAATGGGTCCGAAGAGAAGTGGTGGCGATTTGAGGGCGGGAAGCATCTGTTGCCTCTCAATCGGCGAAGTGCAAACAACAACAAATGGCATTCGGTTGGCGTAATCGAGATTTCGGATCACGCCTTAATCAGAACACATTATCCGGCCGCCTCCGATGGCGCAATTTCGACCTTTTTCATAAATAATACACGGCTTGCGATACGACTGGTTTTAATTATGTGCGCCGAGAGTTGCGTACCGATTTATGAGCTAGTTTATGCGAACCAAACTATGTTCGAATGTTTGGCGAACACCAAAAGCGAGTTGTCGGCGAATTGCGCAAGATCAAGTTGTTTGAGGAAACTATCAAGATCTACACATGTACCACCGAACATTTAATGGACAATAAAAACGCAAAAGTGTCTGAATAGCTTCGGACAACACGGTTCAATTAATGAATGCCCAAGAAATTGCATTTTAAAAATCGCTGACCTACGATTAGTAGCCGAAAAACGCGATGGCTGGAGGCCCGAAAAACACTAGGAATAAATCAAGGGAAATGATACATTGAGTTGTCGGCCCTCTTATCTTGCGTTGCCTCATGACCTTGTGCATATTGGCGGCCTCTTCAAACGCATCGGCTGACTGACCGATTTACCGCAATATTATGATAGGCGTGAGCAGTGCGGGGAATGAAGACGATGAAGTGAGCCCGTTAAAGAAGATGGTATCTATCTATCTCTCTCTCTCTCTCTCTCTCTCTCTCTCTCATCGGTTAGGGCGCGTTCCTAATCAAATTATACTATTGGAGCGAGAGCGGTGAGAACGAGCCCCGCGCGGCGCGCAATGTATTGAGTTACAAATGGTGTGAATATTACTGTTTCGTGACGTAACCTAATACCCCCTCTATTCCATTTGAAGCGCGAAGAATGGGCGGAGGTCAAAAGTTGCAATATTGGGCAAACTTTCGAGATTTCTCAAGATCGTTTTCGCTGGTTCATATATCCGAAAGATGCATTTATTAAATCGAATTCCCCGCTTTTTCAGATATTAATTCGATCTGCGGACATTCTACGACATTCCAAGTCAAAATTCATTATCTTATTTTTATACATTTTTTGATTATTTTCCTATATACTGTAATTATCGAAAGCAATAAGCATAGATTTGGCCTAAATTGTGTAGAAATTTACGAATATAAAGAGCACAAAATCAAATCGTAATGAGCAATTGTGTGCATAAATTGGAAGTCAAGAATAAACAAATGAAGCGCGAGATGTGAAATATTGGGATGTATGCTCAAGTGTGAAGAAGGGGGGTCATCGGTCGGTTGCCCACAACAATCAAGGATCTCGAATTTCAAACGAGAAGCCGCCGCGCCGATGTGTCAAGATTGTGGCTTAGGCCGAATGTCGACGACTACAGTTTCAGATTCGCGCCGGGGGGAAGTGAGCTCATCGCGCAAAATGAGAATGAGAAGAAACGAAGGACAAAGGAAAATCGAGCCGAATTGAGTTAAAGTTCATTAGAGGACGGAAAACGAAATCCCTTGACGGACAACGTACAACCAATAATTGAATGAATGAACAAACTCTTCCTTCTTTTTTTTTGGCAAAAACTCGGTCAAAAGTGGTCATTAGGCGTAACCAATTAATGGTATCCGGTCGTTTGGCAAACATTCCTGGGCTTTCGAATGCTAAAAGCTGAATGAAGTATTCGGCAAATCTTTTCCCAATATTTTGACGGAAGTTGGTCCGGCCCGCAAGGCTGATAGAAAATATGTAAATTTTGGCGAAGCCCTCTGTATAAGGAAATGGAAATATTTAAAGAAAACTCGGTATAGTAAAGGTATTTTCTAAGCATAAAAAATAAATTTTAAAGACTTGTCTTTCTGACAATGCCGACCACATCGATTGAATGTTTCCAGTGTAGTAAGAGGGTGATGATATTGGAAATAATTCAGAAGAAGCTACTACGACTAGATGCGTGAAAGTTGAGGAGGCCAACTGATATAATGATTAATTTATAAGCTGCATCGTCATTTAGTCATATTCTCTCAAGTCTGAAGAAAGAGCAGCGATATTACGAAGGATTTAGTGGATATCAAGAAAAAGGTAATTTTCGACGTGATCTAATGGATCTATTCATGAAATGTATTGATTTTTTTTACAAAAAAACTCTAAAAATATTAAATTTTTCATTTTTTAAAATTAAACTAATAGGTTCCTAAAGTATCATTTGTCACATTTCTATTACTAGAAATTGTTTCTGAAAATTATTTTACAATTCTTTAAATACTTAAATGAAATCACCAAAGAAGTGAAATTCCGAAACAACTCAACTAATACGGTGATTTGAGAAACTCGCGACTTCCGAGCAAAAAAGATTAGCATAAATGTCATAGAAATGTCAAAAATGTACAAATCGGAAGGCATTGGGGCATCAGTGTTCGAAAAGTTCGGTTTCGATTGTGCCGGCGTCGGGCGTCGCCGATTATTAATCTCGGCAATTCATCTTTGAAATACATAAACATTACGCAACTTCTACTCATTCCTCGTTCTCCAAATTTCGCCTTGTTCTCTATTCTATTTGACCGCCTCGCAAAATGAGTTGCAAATGGGAGAAGGGGGGCGAATCGGAGGCAAAATTTATGTTCCCCCCGAGGAAATGATAGGAATTCTTTTAGGCGCACGGCCACCCGCAAAACTCGAATCATCTCCCTATATTATTATATAAATTCCGGACGCTATTAAACGAAACAAGGAAAGAAAAAATGAAAATATCTATCTAACAGCAATGTTTGTATCAAATCTTATGAATTCAGTCGTCTGTGTGCATGCAGATGGTACGGAGAGAGTGTGCGGATTCATGAGACGCCGGACATCGATAAATTAGGCAAAGAGCCACGACCGTAGCTGACGGGCCGGAATGACGGCTCGCGATTTATGGTGCTCACACGACGACGGCGGGTTTCAATTTTGGTGCCGCAGTGAGAATTTTTGAAATTCGACAAAAAAAATAACCGCGATCACCATATGAAGCTCGCCTCCTTTTTCAATTGCGTCGAAATCTTTTGCGATTCATCAAAACCGCCAGAAAATTTCGCAATTTCTTCAAAAACACTCAAATTTGTCAAGCAATGTTTTAAAGAAGTTGCTTGCGCGCGAAAAAGTATTTGCCATCGCGTTTTTGACGGGGCTCCCACGAGACCGATTGCTCATCGACGGGTTGCAGTTTTCGTGGGGCTGCCGATGGCGCACCTCTTCTCATGTTGACAATTCAAAATAATTTGTCACGGCCAATTTTTAGCGGCCTGGGAATTGCGCGCTAAAACATTTTTGGGGATGAGAAGAATCGTATTATTATTAGAGGGGGCACAATCATATTAATGGCACGTGTTTGAAGAATACAATGATTTGAGAATCGGGAATGATCCGCGGCCGCAGATTCCGGTATAATCGTCTCCATTAACGGAACGGAATGAAATTCCGCCAAGATTTTCGCGAATTGCGAATCCCATCTAAAATCAGAATTTCGGCATTCATTCAACCCCACCAAAATCCATTATTACCTTGTATTTCACGGTGTTGATTGTTGGAATCGATAACACGCCTGTCGAATGCTTATGATAAGCTGTCAACGTTTCATAGTTTTCAACGAAATGCGCACGATTTCCAGCCGTTTCGCAAACCTAGAATCTCATGAATCCACAATATACTATTATCAAAGTGTTACATTTCCTTGCGACATAGTGTGCTTCTTTCCACCGTCGCTTCTAATTCCAAACGGCGAGATTTCCAGAATCATCTTTTCAGGCTTCACTCCCGATTGCAGCCAAGTCAACAATGTTGTCTCCTAGGCATAATTGTTCAATAGGGTTATATCATAAATTATAGACTTACGTAGTTTTCTTCTTCTGTGTTATTGTAGAAGAATGGCCTATCAGTGTGATGATGATCGGAGACAGCGATCGAGACATGATCAAGTTTGTTGAGAAGCGAAATTTGATAATATTGATTTGGAGTCGAGGTATGCGGTGAGAATCTGATCGATAATGTTCTTCGGCACTTGTTCGCAGCCAAATGCTCATCGAGCTTTGCTCGAAGATTTCGAACAAAACTGTTGAATTGAATCTAAAATAGTACAACTTGTGGAGTGCCAATCAATGAAAACCAACATTATTATTGCGTTTAATTACATTCTCGCAATCAAGCTGAATTCCCGATAATTCATATTTTTTCATAGCCTCCATAATATTATCAATTGTATGCGTCATATTATCTGAAACATTAGGCTTATCCATTCGAATAGTCATCAAATGCATACCGATGAGCAGATTCGTAAATTGGCGTTCCGATGTTCCACAAGACAATGATAAAATCATTCCGCATTTGACCATTTTCTTGCGCATTTTCGCCTGAACCCTCGTGTTTTTCGATTTCGAACATTTTTGGCTCACCAAACATTTGAGGTTTTCCTCCTCAGAAGGATCGTGGAAGTGAATTCGACCGGAATTGCTGAGTTTTGCTTGCTCAACTACAACTTCTGTACATCTTTCATATGGGACAATCTCCGTTTTGAACAATGCTAGAGAGAACCAAAGATTGAAATCTGGGCCAAATTAAAAAAGAACAACGTACGAACTGATTTCTTCAAATCGAAACTGCAAGAGACTTTGAATTTGTGGGAGCATTTTCGGAAATCGTGATGCTTGACGCATCTCGGGCACACCTAAAAATCGAAATTGCAAAAGCAATAGCAAGTTGTCTGAAAAATAAATACTTGAACTCTCGATATTTGCGAAAGAAGCGGGAAGGCGGTGCGGTTATCACAGATTCCATGCGGATCATCGGCGTCGACGTCATGCACAGTGATTCCAATTCCTTGCATCGATGCCCAAACCGCTTTGATATGGGCAGATCTCACGTTTTCATAGGCGACGAATTGACCATTTCGCATGAGGTATGGAACTTCAGCAATTGGAACCCATTCAGGATTGGCTGATTCCATTTTGATCGATTCGCAAATCTGAAACAATTGAAATACAAATTTTTAAACAGGTTGAGAATACCTCCTGCTGTGTGCGAATATCCAAATTCTCGGCTCGAAATGCTGAAACGAATGCAGCTTGTCCGAACGGACCAGTTTGTCCGAAGCTCTTTTGATCGGCAAGAGATGTCATCGAAATTGCGGCAGCGCTCAATGCAACAGCGATTCGTTTCCTAAAACATGAGCAATGATATTTTAATTAGATTCTAGATTGAACCTGGCCATTCCAAATTTCGTCCAATACTTCACCATTTCCTCCCAACTCATTTTTTGATCGTTCATCGAAGAAGTGGCACGAAGCGGTGATGGATGTCCTATAAATAATGGTTTAAATTTAAATAAAATTTTATCAAGCGAATACCAGTGAATGGACTACGATTGCTATGAAGTCTATGCGTTTGAAGGACGACAAGATCGACGGTTCTGAAGCGAAAAGTATTTCGAAGAAATATTTGAATCAAAATATTCAAATACTTGTTAAGGAATTCGACGTCGTACCAATTTGAGTAGGTGCTTGCTGCCGATGCAGCGACAACAACTTCCACTGGATTTTTCTGAAACATTTTCAATTTAGGACAGATTCACAATCAAACTGAACCTTCGACAATGTGTTAATATCGGTAATGAAACTATTCAAATTATTTTTATCGAATTCATTGTTCATCGATTCCAAAGTCCACGAGATTTCCACTCCATCGGCATTCAATTCGTCAACTTTCTAGAAAATTTGAATTAATTTGAAAAAAAAGAACGAAATAAACCATGAGAATATCTTTAGCCAGTTCATTTCGTTTCACATCATCGGCAAGTAGCAACGACCATGTCGTTGTTTGCTGATGTCCTCCAATAGAAAGAATCAGCTTAAAATTTGCAATAAATTTGAAAAAAATGATAAGCAACAAAAAATTACTCTTGGCGCGACTTCTCCGATCTTCAATCTCCACTTGTCAATTCTGGCAATGAGAAGATCGGCTCCTTCACGGACCATTGAAACATCTTGAACATCAATGTCGAAATAATCGATAACAATGTGTGAGCAGAATTCCGATTTCAGCGAATCGAATGGGAATGATTTGTCGATTCTCGATGTTTCCAAATAGCAAATTCTTGTGCATTTCGCTGGCGAAGATGGAATCACATCGCGAATCATCTAAAACTTCAAATATTGCCCCACTAATCACATAACGAAGTTAATACTCTCATCGCGAAATTGTGAAGCGGAAGTGGATCGGCACCACATTTCGAATGCGGATCATCATCGAAAATGTTGGAAATTCCAATTCCAGCGAATTTCTCCGACAACACCCATCCCATTTTCTTGCCGAGACCTTGTCGAGTTGGCACATTTGCCGATACCCATGTGTTACGATAAAGTGTCACTTCGTCCAGAGTTTGATTATCAAATACAATGGTACCTAGGTTGTTCAGAATCAGATTTAATCGGGCGGTTCCTCAAAGAGCAAAACCTCGAGTTTTGCAAGTGTCTTGATATGGAATTCGCTTTCCTTCAGACGTCGCAAAATCGCCGTGATTGATTCTCAAAACATTTGGCACTTCGAACATCCAACCTCCAGCAGTGAAACCGACAACAACCTTATTTGGCATCACTCCATTCTCAGATAATTTATCAACGGTGCCTTGAATTGTGTCCTCATAAACGACAGTTCCGTTCGCCCACAATGGATCAATATGAGTGATGATCAGCGGATCTTCATTCGACTTCACAAAAATTTATTAAATTGTTTTTGTTTCGATGAATTTCATCAAAACTCACCGGAAGTGTCGACATATCAACATAGACGTTTTCAACATAATTGATTGTTTGCCGGATTCTCTCCACCGAATCTCTTTGCCAAACTCGACGAGCCGAAATACCAATCGTATTCATGGTTCCATTTCCCATTGAAATTTCCTGCATACATATATCAAAAATTCTTTAAAAGGAAAAAGATTTTAAATTACCTTAATGAAAACGGCTGACGACGAAGTCTCCAAATGATATCCATTGAACTCGAAAAAGATTCCATCAAAATTTCTGCAATTTCGAAATATATATATTTTTTGTTGATGAATTTCTCCACGAAAACCTTTCAACAGCGGCTCTCTTTGCACCTCGTGCAACGTGTTTTGCTTGAATTGAGTCCGTGAATGGAGCACTTCGTCGAACGCCAAGAAGGAATTTCGATTTCGGATGTTTTTGGCGGAGTCTGAAAGACAGTAAGGAAATTAAAAGTGAGAAAAGCTAGAAAAAAAAATAAAATCACCAAGACTAGAAAAATAAAAACTTGAAATGCTTCGTTGAAACCCGGTAATTCAATTTTTCATTTTTCGGCATATTATCATGTTTTTTTTTCATTCGACGTAATTCTGTTATTGAATGAAAATAATGGCTACACATAATAAAATAAATAAACAAATTTGAAGACTCAAATTACCAATAGTTCAAGTTTCAATGCATTCTCGTTTCTGTTCTTTTCAATACACATTTTTATTTTCTAAAGAGTTTTTTGCAATCGGTTTTTTTTCGTTTTTCAACAACAGAATTGTTCCATAATGAAACCAATCAATTCTTGTGTGAACACACCTGAGGAAATTCCTAATATTTCCATCGCTTCCAGCGTAAATCAAATCAAAATTGGTGAATTTTGGGGTTCCTTTCGCATTGTCAATAGAAAACTCGCCAAATACGAAGTGAGTGCACGTGATATTCTCCAATAGGCGCGGATTGAAAACGGTTTTCTATAAATTCGGTGTATTTTTCAATTCAGCATTGTCTACCGGTGGGGGTTTCACGAAACAATAAAGAGAACTCGCTTCCTCTTTTTGCGCAATCGGCGAAATTATGGAGGAAATTGGCGAGGAAAGCACGGCGAGCAAGAGAAGGGCTATCGTACCCATTCTGCAATAAAGTATTGAATTTTGAAGAGCAAAATCGTCGCGATCTGACCATTATTGCAATATCCCTGCTTTTATATCACTTTCTTTTTAACGCCCACCAGATTTCTGCAAAATGTTTTGGCTCTTTCATTTTCGCACGCTGAAAATGATTTCAATTAAAAAAGGCTGATGAAACTCATCGGTTTTTTTTTTATTTGAACAACACCGTCAAACACTATTTCTTCGGCATCTATTGTTCACACGACGCGTTGGATTCTGGTTTTCCGTGAACACTCATTCTCTTCGCATTTATTGATTTATTCTCGCCGTATACGCAACCTTCCCAAATTTTTCGTTTCCAGATGGAATGAACTCATTGAGTCAGATTTTTGGGTGCTTCCGGCTCAATCGTGCTACCGTTAGACGAGATAACGGCCATGTTGGCGGTTAGTTTTGTTTTCATCTCAGCGTCTCACACTTTCCAATGTGTACTATACACACACTAAACCGGTCTCATTTATCGCATTTTAAAGCTTGCTTATCAACTTTTTTCTTTAGTATTTATTATACGAAGTATATTCAAGCAGAGTTAAGTTCGCTCTAGCGAGAATATCGTAGTTTTATGAGCCATAAAAATGCAAATCACGTGGCGAATTTTATATCGATTTAGAATATATGTCGTTTTTATTTTTTTGCAACTAATTGAAGAATAACCTTGTTCATTCATTACACAAAAATGAAATAAATATAAGTGGTTTTTTTTCCGTTGAACTGATGCAATTTGCGTGTTTACTGATGTAATTCACATTTTAAACTTAAGAGTGCATTTTCATTTTTCTCGAAGCTTCTAAAATATAAATGCGATCAAAAACCGAATAAGTTAGATAATCATTCAAATACAAACACGGCCGTGTTTCTCCCGCACGTATTAGGGTTTTAATTAAATAAAATGAATGGCCGTGGCCTAATTTTTAACCGGCTGAAAATCTTTTTTCTTTTCTTTTTTGAATGTAATGAATATTCATCCAAGTTTAATGCCGGTCTTAAAAAATAAAAGAATATATTATTGAAAAGTTTGTTTAGGTTTCATTTAAATTTTAATTTTTAAATACGTGACATTTTAAAATTAGAAACGCGTTCTAAACTTTTATGCATTACAGTTAACCCCAGAATTATTTCGATAGCTAAATTTCTGTTTATTCAATTTGTAAAACATATGTGATTTCAGAGAGATCATCAGGTTCTATGGGAGCGGTGGCATCGAGTATGCCACCACCTAGGACCGGTCGCTCTTCAGAAAATGGAAGCGAGCCGGATCCGAAGAGAAGAAATGTCGAAGAAGTCGGTAGAACACCATTGAAAGAAGCGTTGAAGATTCTTGCCACATCGAAAGCTGCCGTTGTCTTTGACGGAGATGACACGGCTGCAGCAGAAGTGATTAAAATGTGAGGAAAATAAGAATGAAAAATTATTTCAGCATATCCAAATTCTTCAAAATGCCATAAAAGAAGCTGGAATATCCGCTGACGTCGCCAAAGTAAACGTTGGTTCTGCCTCAAAAGCTCAAATTCAACACCTTACATTGCACCAAGGATGGCCTATGGCTTACATCAAAGTAATTCAATTATTGCTATCAAATATTCACTCTATCGAATTTAGGGAGACGCTATCGGCGGTCTTGAGAACTTGAAGAAAATTCCCAATAACGTTTTGTCGGAATGGCTTAAAGATCACCAGTATGATCTTATCGTGATTGGTGGAGGATCTGGAGGTCTTGCCGCCGCCAAAGAAGCAGCTCGTCTGGGCAAGAAAGTCGCATGTATCGATTTTGTGAAACCATCGCCGCAAGGAACTACATGGGGACTTGGAGGAACTTGTGTGAATGTCGGATGTATTCCAAAAAAGCTGATGCATCAGGCATCAATATTAGGGCATTCCATTCGTATGTTTATTTGAAATCCAACAAATAATTATAAGGAACCAAATTGTTTAGATGATGCGAAGAAGTTCGGATGGGATATCCCTGATGGTCAAATCACTCACAAATGGGCAAATCTAAAAGAAGCCGTTAACGATCACATTTCTTCATTGAATTGGGGTTATCGTGTGCAACTTCGTGAGAAGACGGTTTAAATAGCGTACTGAATCAAAATCTAATCTATTAATTTTAGGTAACATATCTCAATTCCTACGCAACTTTCACGGGACCATTCGAAATCTCAGCGACTAACAAGAAGAAGAAGGTTGAAAAGATCACGGCAGATCGTTTTCTCATTGCTACAGGACTTCGGCCAAAGTATCCTGAATGTCCTGGAGCTGTTGAGTACGCAATCACAAGGTTGACAAATATTTTATTCCCCTAGATTTCAATATTATTTTCAGTGACGATTTGTTCCAGTTACCCTATTCCCCGGGCAAAACTTTATGCGTCGGAGCTTCTTACGTTTCTCTCGAATGCGCTGGATTTTTACATGGACTTGGATTCGATGTCACTGTATAATTAATAATTCATATATTCGCTATATGGTTTTGTTTTAGGTGATGGTCCGATCAATCCTTCTTCGTGGTTTCGATCAGGATATGGCGGAAAGAATTCGAAAGCATATGATCGCTTATGGATTGAAATTTGAAAGGTTATTCCCCAATAGATTGTCTATTGATTGACCAGTTGAATTTCATTTAAGTGGTGTTCCGACGAAAATAGAAGAAGTCCAAGCAAAAACCGATGAAAAGGCAGGACTCTACAAGGTTTATTGGCAGAAGAAGTTGGATGATGGAACAACTGCGGAAGATTGCGAGGAGTTCAACACGGTAGTAAAAAATATATTGTTTTTAAACAAGAGTATTGTGCATAGATTGTTATGGCTATTGGACGAGAAGCTGTCACTGATGATGTCAATCTTGATCTGATCGGTGTTGAAAGAGCGAAGAGCAAAAAGGTGATTTCTTGCAATCCCGAATAAGAAGACAATAAATTTGATATTTGAGGTGGTCGGACGACGTGAACAATCATCGACTCTTCCTTATGTATATGCTATCGGTGATGTATTGGAAGGAACTCCGGAATTGACACCGGTTGCAATTCAAGCCGGAAAAGTTCTTATGAGAAGATTGATCGAAGGAGCCAATGAATTGGTTTTTTTTTTCGATTATTAGAAATGACGCATTGTTTAATTTTTAGACGGAATATGACAAAATCCCAACTACTGTGTTCACACCGCTTGAATATGGTTGTTGTGGATTGTCGGAAGAAGATGCCATCAAGAAATATAAGAAAGAAAATGTGATTGTGTATCACAATGTGTTCATCCCGTTGGAATACACGATTCCGGAACGAATGGATAAAGAACATTGCTACTTGAAATTGATCTGTTTGAGAAATGAGAATGTTTGTCTTTTTTGTTGCTAGTTTAGCCAAAATTGCTATATTTTGTAGGAAAAAGTCGTTGGATTCCATATTCTAACGCCTAATGCCGGAGAAGTAACACAAGGATTTGGAATTGCTTTGAAGTTGAACGCCACCAAGGCAGATTTCGACCGATTGATTGGAATTCACCCGACCGTTGCAGAGGTAATTTTGGCAACGATATGTAAGAGTTTCTGAATTTGTCATTCCAGAACTTCACCACGTTGACGTTGGAGAAGAAAGAAGGGGACGGTGAATTGCAAGCTTCGAGTTGCTGAGGATAAGAAGGGTCCGTAAGAGGTTTAGCTCAGTTCAAAGCTGAGCATCATCACTGCAATTGGGAAATGTTCTAAAAAATTTTTAAGTAGATGAAAATAGTTACTTCTTCAATCTGAACCATTTTCATCCACTTTTAAAAACTTTTTGCTTCTTTCCCAATAGCAGTGATTGGTGCTTGCCTTCCTTTTAAGTCAATCCAACCAAAGAAATGAGCTAAATCTCGTACGGACCAGTCGGCAGAAGTGATTAGTCGCAGCTTTGTGACGACTATTGGCTAAACTCCACCGTGAGCGCCTCTGGTCTGATGCGCGATGAAAGCTTCTGCTCCCCCAACACGCCGTTTTTCGGTGTTTGGGTGAGAAAAATTAATGAAAATTGCGAAAGTTTTATCGAATTAATTGCGCAATTCTCATTAGTTTCCCTCAATTTCTTTTTTTTTCGATTTTTTAATTCTCTCGCTTTTTGTATTATTCGTATTCACTTTTCTTTCCAATTCGTCGGCCTTATTCGTTTTACGGACTACTGCAATAAACTGAATGATGATTTATACACAAATGCTTGCAACTAAAGTTTTTGTCTGCGTTTCCACTTCAAAGTATATTTTGGGTGGGGCCCCCGCGGCAACAAACCGACGACAACGCATAAACAAAAGGATGACAATCGGATTTTCACACTTCTCCGCATTCCCGTGCACTATCTCGATTTTATCTTGACATTTATAGTAGAAATTCTATACTCGGCCCCCTCTAATTTTGTCGATGATTCTTTTCCGTTTTTTATTTATTTTTTCGTTTTATTATCGAATTCACTTAGGAAATTGCGTTTGAGACCATTGTTTGAAACTCGCAACAACAACTCGTCTAATATTCCTCTTGTGCTTCAACATACTAAAAAAACATACTTCAACATAAATTTTCGAACCGGAGGAGTGTATATAGGAAAAAGGGATTCTAATACCGTTTTTCAATATTTTAGAAATCACGCATTTTTAGCACAATCATGCAATACTAATAATTGTTCTTTAAAGAATTATTGTCGGCGTCCGGCGACTGCTGTACGCGGGTAGATTTACGCGAATGCACCTTGAAAAGGTCTCTCCACCTGTGAACGTTTATTTTGCTGTCGAACGGTCAATTTTTTCTTGATGAGTTTCGCATTTCCTTGAATTTCTAATGTTAATCGATTTAAAAATGATCGAACCGACCCATTAGATGCGAATTAGTCCGCGCGAGACCATGGCGAAGGCGCATGTTCGTACATTCAACGATAAGGTCTCTTGAATTATAGACCTTATCGTGGAACACGTGATATTGTTGAAGGCACACGACTGTCGGTGGTCGTCCCATAAAACATTTGAATGTGCTGTTTTGGTCACGCAACCAATAACAAAAATTACTGTGTGCAAAAAATGTATTCTTTCCTCAATATCTTTAGTAGATAATGTAAAACACTGGTTTTTGAATTGAATTCTAATCGAAAAAATGTAATAAATCCTTTAAATAAAGTCATTGACTTCCATGATGTCATTTCTGAAAAAAATTCTGCAAATTAGCAAAATTGTTCAATTTCCAATAAGAAACTGCAGAAAAATTGATGCGATTAGTTCTTGATTCGTTGATTTTGTCCGACATTGCTCATGCCATGCTGACGAATGCATGCCGGCCGCCGAACAGTCTCGGACAGTGATCGCAGTCAGTCTGCCATCTGCTCGGTCGTCGGTCTGCGCTCGCACCGATTCACACGCTCTCTCGACAAGCTGTCATCATCTGCGTGTTTCCAGTTCCATTGGTCACTCAATCATACTTGTATCATTTCGTTTGCAAAATCTCCTCATTTTTATTGTTGTCCAATCCAATTTTCTATAAACGAAATAAATAATTTGAAAGAAAAAAAATAAAATTTCTAAAATTCAATTTCATCTTTCCGCATTTATGGATTCACATTGCCCGAATACTATGCTTAGAATATAATGTAGGAATCTCAATAGTATGTTAGATTGCCAGAAAAGTGGAGGTTTAAAAATTGTATTCTGATATTTTTTCGCGAACAATTAGGATATTTGAAGTTGGTCATAGAAAAGGAAATTTTTTCCAGATTTGAAGGAAGGAAATATTTAGTTGAATACCTCCTCAAATTTCCTTCCTCCTCTGAAACCCATTTTCGTATTTTCTTTTATAATTCCTCTTTGCAAGTTCGTTTCAAAAAAGCTCAAGTTTTCCTTAAATGGTCCCTTATGACCTCTAAAATCTTTAACCATTTTCGCTTTTTTTCTATTACACACCCGCAAGTCTGTCTGTCTCAGCAACTTTTCGTGTTTCCGCTCGAGTTTTTATTGTCGAGCCAAGAAAAAGTCAAAAACAAATAAATAAACAAACAATGAAATGTCTTGTGCTTTACACCAGCCGATCTCGCCTCATGCCCCGTCTTGCTCTGTTTGATTGAAAATTTGGGAGGCTCACAATTTTTGAAAATTCTCTCTAATCTCTTCTTGTTTCCAATTGATGCTATCAGTCGTCAGAAGAAAAAAAAAATGAGAAAATTTGCAAGAAAACCGGATTTTCGAAGCAAAATTTAAACCTTTGAATCATCAAACGGTTCTCCCGAATATCACAATTTTGACTGTGAGTCTAATTTCGGATTTCCAAAAAGTTAACATAGCAATACATAGAGATATTGGTCATACTCTTCTCAAATGTCACTTGATCTCGCTGTAATCTTTGAGAAGATCGCTATTTTTAGAAGATTCCCCCCCTCCTCTATCTTTGCCTGATTGATTATGCGAACCATCAGCTTCTCATGTGATCATAATCCGACCTTCGGCTTAAGAGACTAAAGAAAAAATGTGATATAAAAGGAAATTATATCAATTTTATTTCATTTAATGCTCATGGCTCAATATGGGAACCCTTGAGATTCTAGACCAATTCAAAAACAACTATAATCTTGTTTGAGATGTCAAGCTGAAAATCGAGCAATTCGAACGTCTTAATTTGAAGAATATGTGCAGAATTTGAGCACAATGAGTATTCTCAATATCAATATTTTTGTATTCTTCATTTTTTTCCCTAATTATGAGCGTGACCCATTCTTCCACAACATGAACACGTCAAACTTCATGTCAAAAATCCAGTAAACACAAATAAGCTAATAAATATTTTACAAATTGCCTTAATCTTTTTTTCTGTAGTAAATATGAACACTCTAGTAAAGTCATTTGACCGGAACTTCAAGTAGAAACATGGCGATTTCAAAAGAGGCTTCCGGGCGCCGAAATTCCGCCCAACGCCAAAAATGTATTTGTGCGTCGATTGGTGTCAACACCAGCAAAAACGTTTCATCTAAATATAGGCAAAGATAATTGAGTTATTCATACATATATGAAAGCGTCGATTCTGCTCAATTTCATTGGTGCTCACCGAATGCATTCGTCGCAATTTCTTCATTATTCCCATTCTTTTCATTCATTCATTTCGCGCATTTTCAGTTCATCAAAAAATGGGCGGAATGATGTCCGGCGAGAAGGTGTTCGACGACTCGAAGGCGATTCAGCGAGTGCAGAAGCAAATGATTCACAACAGGTAACCGACGTCATCTTGTGCAAACACGCCACAAGAAGAGCATTCATTTTTTTTGCACTCGCCTCCCGTTGTGTTGATTTATTTGAAACTCTTCCAAATAATCGAAAATGTTGCGCTCGTGGGGCGCGAAGTGGATCCGAGCAAAATAGATTGAATTGTCATAGAGACGCACACAAATTATCAAGCAGTAGGTGATACAATTTATATCAGCTTTCGTCAAGTGTTCAGTCGCCTAAAACTCATTTCAGCTTTTTCCCCAAAAAATCATTTTTGCTGAAAAAATAGAGAATCCAACGGTTAAATTTGTTACGAATCATATGAGAAATATGATAAAAATTTTTGCAAACGGGTTTCTTTAAATATTGATTTTAGATAATTTTACTAACTGAAACTTGAGTCGACTTCAAATATTTTTTAAAGAAAATTAAAAAAATATTTGAAGAAGCACTGAAAAACAATTAATATGAAAACTCGAAGAACCCGCATTTTGAAGGTTTAAATGAACATATTTCCAATTTGTGTGAAAGATTTCTTTAAAATTGCATGGCCTTTTTTGCAAATCTGATTTTCTTTTTCCTATTCTTTAAAAACTTGTTGTAACGTGAATCCTTTAAATACTTAACGTGATATAAAAAATCGTTTTGCAAAATTCGTGTCATACTCGAATAAAAGTCAAAACAAGCCGAAGACTTGTCAAAAAATGATTCATATTCTGAAGAAAAGAACGAAATTGATAATTCGAAGAAATTCGGCTCATATCTGTTTGATAACTCGAAAACTAGAAACCTTCATTGATCAATATGGGTATGTTTAATATAGTATTTGCGTATATGTGCAACAACGTGTACCCAGTTTTTAGACCTTTTGAATTTTGCACTCTTGCAAGAATTGAAAAGGGATTATTGACACCTAATCGGTCTGATCTTCCATTGATAATTCCCAAATTTTTTTTATCAATTTTTCTGTGAAATTGTGCATGTTTTATTTTTCCCAATATGGTATCATTAGTGCTTTGATAAAATGCAAAGTTAATGTTAGCAACGTGTCTCTACAATCTACTAAAAACAATTTAATTGATAAGCACAAATATGGCTAAAAGGACAAAGTTCATGGCCTCATTATCGTGGATTCTCTTGATAATCGGGTAAATTCGTAATCAGTAGTGTTGAGTGAAATGGCGAAATTCTGGAATAAACTCGGCGCAAAATTTAAGGCATTATTGAGATGCTTGTAAGTTTTCTTGTCATTATTTTATTATCTCGCGACCCACTCTTTTTTTTGTCAGCTTAATTCTAAAAAATTATCATTTCGTTTTTGATGATTATACGGAATTAATGACTTCTTATCAATTTCCAAAAATGCACAATTGACTCCTATAAAATGGATGATTGCCTAACAAATTTCCTCATTTTCTTTTCAGCGATCCAAATTTGTCGATCAGTCTGCCAGAAGTCACACCAGACATGAAGCAGAAGCTCAATTTTCCGAAGGTATTTAAAAGTTCTGAGATGATCCAAAACGAGTCTAATGGGCTCGCAATATTCGAAACACGAATTTATTAATCTTAAAGCATGTTCAAGATTTTTCTAGCATTATTAGTTTCTATATTTTTTGGAAAGTCATCAACAATAGTAGTTTTGAACCTAAATTTCAAATATTCACTCAAAATTTTCTTCTCATGATGCATTTTTTTTTAGGTTGAACTCCACCTTCATCTCGATGGATCAATTCGCTTCGACACAATTCTGGATCTCGCTCAGTATTCCATCTTCCTCGGAATTCGGTTTACACAACTTTCAAAATTTTCAGACAGAAGGGCATCTCGTTGGCCGGCGCTCGTACCGTCGATGAGCTCAAGAAGGTTCTTGTCACCCACGAGCCAGCGAATCTTTCCAAAGTGCTCGAAGCATTCGAAATTTTTCTTCCGGTGATTCGCGGCGATGTCGAGGCGATCGAACGCGTTGCCTATGAACTTTGCGAGGATCAACACAACAACGGCGTCGTGTATTTCGAGGGACGATATTCGCCGCATTTGTTGCTTTCGCCGGAAAATCCCGAAATCACCGCCGCCCATATTGTTGCCGCTGTCAAGAAGGGATTCGATCGCGGCGAGAAGGATTTTGGAGTCAAAGCGCGATCGATTCTTTGCTGCATTCGTGGACTCGACAAAAAATTCCCGCAACTTATTCTTGACCTTGCCACAGATCTTAAGCAACTCGGTGTCGTCGCTATCGACGTTGCTGGATCTGCACACGGAGCCGATGAGCAGTATGAGCCAGAGGTGGTTGCGGCATTCCAGGAAGCCTATAAGAGAGGAATCCATCGTACAGTTCACGCTGGAGAAAGCGGAGGTCCACGAGAAGTTTTAAGGGTAAAATTGAGAAAATTAGTCTTCAAGAACAAAACTGACATTTAGGCGATCCAAGATATGCACGCTGAACGCATTGGACATGGATACAGAGTCATGAGGGATCCACAGATGTACCATGATCACTTCGTTAGTGATAGATCTATTCATTTGGAAGCATGCCCATATTCTTCGGTTATGACTGGTGCGGTTCCATTAAACTGGAAAGAGCATCCAATCGCGAGATGGGCACAAGATGATGTCAACTTTTCTGTGTCTCGCGATGATCCGACATGTTTCGACAATACAATGCTCAGTGAGTTGACATTGGTCAATGAGGAAATTGGTCTCACTGGACATCAACTATGGAAGGCGGTAAGAAACTGAACCCATGGTGCAAATTTGAGAACTGTTTTGCAGCAACTGAACGCCGCCCGATCGACATTCTTGCCGGAAGATGAGAAAGAAGCTCTTGTTAAGATAATTCTTGCCGCCGAGCCTCCACAATAATTCCCGCAACACCGACTAAAACAAAAATTCCGATTCAAACTGGCCACAATTCACTTTGTTCAATTGTTCTTTGCTATAAATCATTAAATTAATAAAACTTTAATTGAAATAATGAGCAAAACAACGAAATAACAACAGAAGATCTAAAAATGCATACACTACTACTGGGAAGTTGGAGCACCGTTGGCCTGCGCGTTGAGCATTTGGTGCTCTTGGAAACGCATCGAAAGTCTCTGCGTCATCTTTAAAGAATTTACCAGTTTTTATTTCTTACAAACTGAAAAATTTACCTTCAAATATTTGTCTAGACAGTTATTAGAGCACTTCTCTTCTTTATCGGAAACTGTTCGACTACCAAATTCATTAACACACGCGTTAAAGCACGCCTCAGCCACCAGATTGTACTGTCCGAGAAAATCGCGGAATGTTTGAATGTTTTGTTCAGTGGTCATTACTAAAAATAAATATAATTAAGAAGATAGGAGAATGGGACCATGAAAAACGAAAAGATAATAGTGAATTTTTTTTTCAATACGTTGAAAAATTTGAAACAAATAAACTAAAAAACTGATTTTAAAGATTTCGTTTAAATATAATTTTTTTCAGAAATCAACGTGATAAATATAAAAAAAAGAAATAAAGAAAAAATATCCTCGGCAAACGTATCGGGAGAAACAGTGGTTTTACTCGGTTTCGGCGAAATACGCAAATTACACTGTTTCGATGAAAACATCAAATTTGTTTAAATTTTTCTTCTAAAATTTGTCATTGTTTCACCGAACACGAAAAAAACCCTGTTTCGCCCATTGTGTTTGCAGAGCAAAAAATAAAAAGAATAAAAAATTCGAACAAGTAATTGCGTCATGCTCATAGTGCACTGACGCATTTCGTGTCATTCTCTAATTCTCTTCGTCCTACGCACTGTTTCCTCAAACAACTAAAAACTTTTTTTCAATGAGAAGTTTTCATATATGATATAATTCGTCGTAGCACATCAAATTGACCTTTTGAACATAAGCAACAATGAAGTGGTGTTTAGGAAGTTTGGCGGGCAATTATGGAGTTAATTGCAGCATTCAATTGAGTCCAATAAAGGTGTCAAATTTACAGCGAATACCATAAAACTTGACCAGTGTAATGAGAGGAATTGAAATGAGAATTATAATTCAAATTGATAAAAAATAAAATATCACATTAAAAAAATCATATTTTGCGAAAAGGACAGTTCAAATGAAGGCTATCTATCAAATGTTGTTTTTTTTTTCAGCAACAAAAGTTTTCATCGAATTCCGCCTACTGGCGGCGAACACTGCGAAATAAAAGCGAAAGCTGTTTAGTCCAGGTATTATCAGTTATCCATTGCGCAATATCACAATCTCCTTTTCACTAGCCTTTCTATTTAGATCCGACGATTCATCAAACGCAGTTTTTTTTTGCTTTTAAATTTGGCCTGCCAATTGGTTTCGTGTATTCCTTACTGCTGACTTTCTTCTCAAAACTTTCCCACTCTCTTCCTATTTCTTCTTCATCGTCTTCTTCGTGTTCATCATCGTTTTCCGATTTTTTCCACCTTCAATGAATTGCTTCTTTTTAGATTATATGTACTGCGCGACCTGTCATTCAGCCTCATCATTCCCTCATTATTAAGTTTCCATACTTTCGCTAGCCATTTTTTAAAAATATTTTTGCTAAAAAAATGAAATTGACTAAAAATCAATGATATCGAATTGTCAAAATTCGATACATTTAAACTTTAATTGCGAAAATTACTTGTGATTACACTTTTCGCGAAAACAGACACATTCATACTTAAAACGAACACGGAATCTTGATCGCCAAAATTATTTTACTTTAAACCCAAACCATAGAAATACATTATAGAAATACAGAAGTATAGAAATACATTGATTCTTCCATAACTTATAGAATTAATTATTTTTCAAATTTAATCGATAATTAATAATATAATATTTATGTTCTTTTGGGCTCATTGAGCACTAAAGATTTTCAGCTTACATTAGGCTTCGATTTTCATGTTTAAATGTCTTTATGACATTTATCCAAAATAGTAATTAAAATCGTTTTTTAAATTCATATATCTAATTTATGATTCGATCATTCCTTTTTGTAGTTCTACATTCAATTTTCTCCATAATTTATTTTGTGATAGTTGTAGCCATATTTGCACACAATAAGGAAAACCCTAAATGATGGCGAAAATATGACGTTGAATTTTCAGAAGTTACAGAAACCTCAACATTTAAGCATTTTAGTACTCGTAGATCTGCTACGAAAATTGGGTGTTTGCAAAACACACTTTAAGTCGGAATCAAATATTATTGGTTGAGTTCATTCGCATCAAATGCCTCTTACCGAATATCCGTATAAGGGACTGTTTTTCTAATTGTTTATTTATTTGTTTATTCTTCAATTTCTATGAACATTTAATACTCACAATTATGTTTTGATTCAATGATTAAATTAGCAAATAACGTCATAATCAAAAATTTCAATTTTGTGCAATTTTGGCTTCTGCGAATAATAGTGCGTTTACGAGCAACTCGTTAAGAAAAAAAATGAAAAATCCACAAAATCAGGAAACATTTGCAACAGCGGCCGACGATCGTCATCGAATTCGTCGATTCGCGGTATTGCCTCAAAATCAAACACCAATCCAATTTCAGCCAGCGATTCTTGTTTATATCTTGTTGTTGTTGTGTGCTTCGTCTGTATTTTATATGCGATTCCCTCCCTCTCAATGTTTCTATACCAGCCCAGTTGTTGATGGTACTAGGCAATGCGTTTCGCTTTCGATGGCTGCTTCATATGGAGTGAGAGAGGATAAATCTGAAACATGCCATCCAAAATATCGAGCGACTTTTTGAGATCGAAGTGGTTTCCGACGGGGTTGGCGGGGGGGTGCGAGTGCAAATCAAAACAACAACAACAACACAACAAACACCTAGACATTTCACTTTTTTCTCTTTACATGCCATCTTCATGCTTTCACTTTGACACATTCATCAACTCGATATCTCGACGCGTTCTAGTTCGTTTCGAGATCTCCCATCAACCATCGTCATATTCTTTCCCGTTGTTTTCATTATTCTAAATAGTTCAACGAAGAAACTATGATTTGCCGTTTCAAATTTCTTTTTAAAAGCCTTGACCAAAAAAAGCATACGTTCTTTTTAAATCTTGACCACTACATTTTTACTCGATCATTTCGAATAAATAACCAATCTTCTAGTTTCTTCACGTTTTTTTTTTTCTTCAAGCAATTAAAAAAAACCTTAAAAAATTAATTTCAACTATTTTTAAGAAGGAAAAATAAGGTTATTTAAAATATTTAGGATATTCTTTGTTCTGGGACCCAAGGCTTTAAATTATAATCCATAAATATGAGCCGAAGCAAATGTGTGTCGAGATTAAATCTGAAATCGTGCATCTGAAATTAACCTATTCGAGTTGGTCAATTATTGTCGAGCTACAGTAAGAATAATTTTACTGTAGAGCCATTTTGAAATATTTATTTTTGACCACTTATATGCCATTCTATCAATCCTTCAAGATTTAGACAGTAATAAAAAAACGTTAAATTTGATACGATTTTTGAATGAAATACCCTCTGCCATGTACGAAGAAAGTAAAGAAACAAATCTATGATGGACTTGAAAGAAATTTTCGAAAAAAATCCGCTCACACAAACAACTATCATATCGACGATTTTTTTTTTGACAAATCAAATCGAAAGTACATTTTCATGTCTTTTTTATTTCTTTGTTTGATAAACACCTTATTAGTAAAATTGAAAACGTTTCAGTTTTGTGTTTTGACGTTTTAAAGCGATCAGATGGTAAGCGATCAGATGGTTTAAGATCAAGATCATGTCGATATCAGCCTGATGTATAACTTATTTGAAATACTACTACAACTAGTATGAACCCCTTTTTGATTTTACAAATGCGACAAATTGCTTCCTCATTGTCACGTGAATATCAGGACGATTCGCCACTCATTGCTTCGGACACTTGATTGTAATTCCAGATTCCGCGAATAGTCGCCAAATGCTAGGAGTGCGATGTTGCGGAGGTGAAGAATGCAGCTCGTCGGTCATCGATCTCTCGACACCGGACACCCTTCATCGCGATTTCCATAATTGGCTCAACGTACGTTCTTCGAACATTTCTAGGCGTAGTAACATTTGTGTACATTCATTTCCTATCATTTTATCATCGATTCCTTTTTTTTTTCCAACCTCCCAACCCTCCTTCTGCCAGCCATCATTTGACGCTATCCAGTTCAGTCGGCAGTTAATTTTCCAAACAAAAAATGATGCCGCAATCCTTCTTCTACGCCGATCAATATTCCATTTATTATCCACTAGTAGACCGAAAAATATCCCAAAATGTACTCATCAATATTCCGAATATCAAGAAGATCAAATCATTCGGATTCCAGGGAATCGATCCATCTACTCATCATCATCATGAGATTCCCGCCAATTCACCGATCTCATCACAAGAATCGCCGAAAAGCTCATCATCCGAAGATAATCCGCCGCCAGTTCCGAAAACTCCGATCACCGATGGAAGGAAAAATCGAAGGAAGGGTGAGTTCAGTGTTCACGGAAACACTATTACACAGTGATTGAAAGTCAGCGATCATTTCTACCGTACCCGACGGGTCGTTTATCGTTCTGCTGAAACAGTAGAATTGAGTAACAGAAAAGACACAAAGATATGTATCTATTTGAACAGATTGATGAGATAATCAAAAGAAATTTGGCTAGCGAAAGTTATGTGTCGACTTGATAAGAACACCTAAAGGGGAACTATGTAGTGACCTTCTGAGCTGAAATACTGATTCAATTGGATAGTGACCTGTCTACCGTACACCGCTTTTTTTCTTTTTCCCTCTTTCTATTTCGTTTGAGGTTTTCTTAATCAGGAGCAACATGTTAGAATACCAATAAAGGTATATCGAATCAAAGATGTATTTGTATTTATTCAATGTCCCTTTAAATTGTTTTAAATCATATACTCTTCATTCCATTCAATTTGAGTCCGCTGAATCATCGCTACTGTTCAATTCATCGACTTCTTGGTAAAAGCAGTTGCATCGTTGCAGGAACCAATCTCTATGGCCGCCCTTACTGTCCAGGTCGGCCGCTTTCAATGGCGGAGCGAACTCGAATCATCGAGCTTCATTCCAGTGGAATGAAAGTCAACGCGATCTCGAAATCGCTTTGTATCTCGCATGGTTGTGTTAGCAAGATCATAAGCAGGTAGTCAAATGCTCCGAATTAGTTGAATCGCCGATAATTGAAGGTTTCGCGCCACCGGCATCCTTCTACCAGCCTCATCGCCGGAGCAGGGAAAATCGCGAAAACGGAAACCCGATTCGGAATCGCCCGATTATAATTCGGGTTATAATATGGCGGTAGGTGATTCTGTCAGCATGTCGTTTTAAGAATTACAGATGCATGATTCAAATGGAAACGAATACGTTGCTCAACAATGCTATCCTTATCCGATCGCGATGCCAAATGACAGCCAAATCCTCTATGACTATTCAATGTCCCTTTAAATCTTTCGTAGTTCATCGCTAGTCGAAATTAATCCCGAGATCTCGGCGCTTCTTTCGCTTGTTTTTTCCTTTATGCGCCTTTAAACCGTATCCTTCATCATCATTTCCGATAATATAAACCCGTGCCTTTCTCGTCTTCCAGAATATTATGTAAAATGCTTCTATGTGTGTCTCTGTGTATTTTTTTTTGTATTCTTCCGTTGGTAGGAGGAGTCTAACCAAAATAAAGAATATCAAATGGGAAATGTGTTTAATTAAGTGATAAAATTGATTCTTCCACCAATGTTGTGTGTTTGTCAAATGTGTGAATTTCGTCTTGTCCCTGTTTGCACTGCGAACTCCTCACCTAATCTGTTGACTGGTGGCAAAAGTGTTTCGTTGCGAAGAGAAAAAAAAACCAATTGGTGGTTTATTTCAGTTGTTCGCAGAAACATTCCGACTCATTTTCTCAAATTTTCATGCATTCGTCTCAAAATTTATTCCATTTATTTATATGATCATTATTATAGTTCGAGCGATTCCACATTTTAAGATTTTTAGCAAATCGAAAATAAACTAGTCGTTCACTTATTTACCTCGATATTTCATAGAACACGATGGGCGCTAAAGCTTTTTTTGAGTTGACAAAAAGCAAAATCGTCGGCCGGGATCGAATTGAACCCGGGTTTCGCATGGGTCCAGACGCTTACTATTATATATAGTAGCATATATGCCGTAAAATTATTTTTTTTTTTGATTTTTCATAAGGAAACCAAACGGGAAAATAATTTAAATGATGGATCCGGTGAGAATTGCGAGTAGTCGATCAATTCAATAAATTGGAAAACATTTGTGAAGAAGCTGAAAGAGAAACGAAGGTGAGCGCGAGACGAAACCATGTTTTGCACAATATTTACGTCTCTGCGTCTAATGTGGCGCGCATATGCAGCACGACGGACGTCCGTGTCGAGACACTGTTCCAACTTTTTCTTTTGCAATAAAAAGTTTCTCCCCGGCCGGGAATTGAACCCGGGTCTCGCATGTGACAGACGCGGATACTCACCACTATACTACCGAGGACACGTCGCTTCGCTTCCACAGATGCATACATGAAACCCCTCATTGTATCTTACCCTTCAAATAAAACATTTTTCCCGCGATGATTTTTAGCACGAAAATTTGAGTTTTATGAATATGTAGAAATTTGAACGCGTAATTTTTAAGCTTAATTTTTTCGAATGAGAACCAATCGTATAGTCGGTTTCTGAAAAAAATAGCTGCTACCAGAATAGTTTTCGACATTACCCTTCTCATTTTCCACGTTTGCGCCTTGATTCAAGTATTACATTTATACTACATATAACCGCAAAAATAAAACAAGCACCTTGTGTACAGGGCATTTGTTTCGCTGGTTTTCCGTAGTACACTACCCAAAATCACGCTGTTTTAATTTAAGTTTGAACTACCGTCCGAAAAAATTACAATGATCCACGATGACTTTAGGTTCTCGTTTTTTGCGATTTAAATAATTTTGCAATTCAATTGCGTTTACTCACAATTTTCATTGGAATTTTCTTATATTTTAATCAACGTATGCTTACCGGGAAGAAATTTTTCGGAAGTCTCCATGTGGACCGGAAAATTTCTGGAGAACTACCGAAGAGTTTCGGGAAATTTTGGACAATTTCCAAAAGATAAGAAGGGTAATGTCGAAAACTATTCTGGTAGCAGCTATTTTTTTCAGAAACCGACTATACGATTGGTTCTCATTCGAAAAAATTAAGCTTAAAAATTACGCGTTCAAATTTCTACATATTCATAAAACTCAAATTTTCGTGCTAAAAATCATCGCGGGAAAAATGTTTTATTTGAAGGGTAAGATACAATGAGGGGTTTCATGTATGCATCTGTGGAAGAGAAGCGACGTGTCCTCGGTAGTATAGTGGTGAGTATCCGCGTCTGTCACATGCGAGACCCGGGTTCAATTCCCGGCCGGGGAGAAACTTTTTATTGCAAAAGAAAAAGTTGGAACAGTGTCTCGACACGGACGTCCGTCGAATGCTGCATATGCGCGCCACATTAGACGCAGAGACGTAAATATTGTGCAAAACATGGTTTCGTCTCGCGCTCACCTTCGTTTCTCTTTCAGCTTCCTCACAAATGTTTTCCAATTTATTGAATTGATCGACTACTCGCAATTCTCACCGGATCCGTCATTTATATTATTTTCCCGACTGGTTTCCTCATGAGAAATTAAAAGCAAAATTAAATAAATGTGTATCATCCAATAACAGATTGTTGTGTTGTCTCCCAACAATCATTTCATGAGTTTTAGCGAACCATGACAGTCTCATATAACCTCGATGTCTCCTCGGCGTCGCTCTTCTCATTCCTGAGACTTCAGATCAGATGGAAGGGATCGATTTGGAAGTATTTAACCAAGGTAAGTTTCGTTTGAAATCGAGAAGTCCTTATTCGGGCATTCAGGAGCTGATAATGTTCATATTTGCCTTCTCCGTCATTTCATTTATATATCGCACTGATTTGGTAATAGACAAGCAAACGAGAGCGTAATATTTGCAATTTTCGCATAGTTTGAGTTTCGATGCCTTTTATAGAATTTGGGACAATCTCGCAGCTCTATTCGACCAGACAATGGAATTCATTCCACTCACATTCATGCTTGGCTTCTTTGTCACGATCATTGTCAAACGATGGAATGATATTTTCGCGAATTTGGGTTGGGTTGACAAGTGAGTCGACTCAAATTCGAAACGCTTTTGTCTTCAAAATAGATATTTCCATCTGCGGACATTTAAGACATTCGCATTCAACTATTTTATGAATGTTTAGCGCGGCGATTTGCGTAGCAAACTACATACGCGGAAACGATGATCGAAGTCGAATGCTGCGCCGAAATATCATCCGATACATGGCCCTGACTCAAGTGCTCGTCTTTCGTGATATTTCGCTTCAAGTTCGAAGGCGATTCCCAACGTTGGAATCAATAGTCGCCGCAGGTTTCTTTTTTTGCGAACCCATCACGTTTTGAGCAGTTGCGTTTGAGGATTCATGTTGGACCATGAGAAGGAGGCATTTTATAATGTGGCATTGAAATACAACAAATATTTTATACCGATTCAATGGAGTATGGGTTTGGTGGTGGAGGCGAGAGCTGAAGGAAAGATTGCCGCTGATCTTCTGATGAATGAGATCGGCAAACACATCATCGAATTCAGAAAAGGGCTAGCACAACTCAGCTATTATGATTGGGTTCCAATTCCATTGGCTTATCCGCAGGTGAACCCTTCTAAGATCTCGTCGTGATGTGCGGTTCCAGGTTGTCTTCCTCGCTGTTCGTTCCTATTTCTTCATGTGCTTGATTGCTCGACAATCCGTTCTAATTGATGGAAGAAGCCCCGAAGAACCTTGTGCGGTAATCAGCCAAATACTCGAAACCTCGATGATTTCAAAACGATTTTAGTTTTATCCGATCGTTCCGTTTCTCATGACGACTCTTCAGTTCATATTCGTCGTTGGCTGGATGAAAGTCGCCGAGAGTATGATCAATCCGCTCGGAGAAGACGACGACGATTTCGAGTGCAACTATCTTCTTGACAGAAATCTCGCGGTATCGATGTCCTCGTGCTCTTTTTTAATCTCAAAAATTTCTATTTTTAGACGGGCTTCGCCATCGTCGATGATTGTTACAACCAAATTCCATCCGTCGAGAAGGACATGTTCTGGTGCTCAGACGTCGAGCCGCTCTATTCCGTCGACACCGCAATGATTCCCAAGAATCCGCAAGTCGGCTCAGCGGCTCAATTCGACGTCAAACAGGACGACGAAGTGATGATGATGCCTCATATAGACGATATTGATATCTACGACTTCCAATCAACGAACAACATGATTCCAAGGAAGACCTTCTCGGTCATGTCGATCTCTCATCCATTCGGAAGTCGTGCAAGTCTCTCGTCGTCAAGAAAACGCAGTATGATGGAGACATTTTCGCGAAAGCTCCACAAAAAACAGTAAATCTCGGTTTATCAAATTTGAGACATCCGAATTTGTTTCAGCAATCGCAACAATATGTTCACATCGTCGGCATCGCAAGCCACTTTGAACTTCAATTATGACTCAACGTCGCCGAGCGAAATCAATCTCTCAAATCTGGAAATGTGTCCGATGAAGAGGAAAACGTCTGCCGGAAAACTGTTGAGCCGCGAGAATCCGCCGGCCGACGAATCGCACAAAGTCTCATCCGAGGTTCTTCCAATTGTGATCGAGGAGGACGAAGATAAGACAAAAGAGAAACATCTCAAATAATTTATTGATTGGCTAATGCTTTAACTAATTCGGTTTTTTAATTAATAAAAAGGGTAGTGTCGTGTGATTCGAAATAAAACTTTAATAATTAAAAGCAAACATTCCAGACAGCGGAAACATGGCCCCAAGTTTTCAGTTTTTTTTTTTGAAACGTACAATTACACCAAAAACAGCATAAATTAGTTTTATTTATCATTTTCACTTATTAATATCATACAAAAATTAGCCTCTAGCAATTTCTGGAAGGTCTCGAATGCGCCAAATTGATCATAAATATGTGTATATACATATTGAACAGGGATTACTATCACGGGGTTCTGTATTCTATATGAATAAGTAAAAAAAAGCGATAGGACACAAAAAAAAACAATAAAGACGTCGACAACATAACTATGCAAAACTCGGGAAAACGATGATAGGCAATGTCTACAACAGCGGTTGTGCAAAAAAATCACAAAAAAACGACAAAAATTAATGAGAATTTGTGAGAGAGAAATAGGAAAACAATTTTAAACCAAAAAAAAAAACAAAAATATTGCAATTCGTGGAATGAGGACCCTTTTAAAGAGTAATACTTATGGTGTTTTCCAGAAACTGAATCATAACGAAAATCGGTGTTTAGATGCTTGTGATACTTTTGTTGTGAGTGATTATGATGGGAACGGCTTTTTTCAATTGATATTTCAAAATAAATCAATAAATGGAACATTTGTAAAAGATCAAAGAGGGCGTTGGCTTTTTCGTGATGATTGCTTGACTATCTACTTCTAAATTAAGGACCAGCCTTGAACAACTAAATTCAAGCTCAATTTTTAGCGCCTTCCCACGGCGGTGTGAACTGTGTGATACTGTTCACTGTGGTGCTTGAGACAGTTTGCTGTTGATGAGTTTCCTCAGGAAACAACTGAAAAAAACATTCGATAAAATTCTCATTGGATCTTTGCTAGGCAATTCTTACCAGTTGCTTTGTGTCAACGTCTTCAAATGTGACATCTTTGGTACCATATAGATATTGGCGCAGTTTAGCCTCGCTATCGATTATTGCGAACTGCTGGAAGCCGATCAAATCCTTCGTTTCCACGCAGGCCAACAAATCCGCCGATTTCTCCAAACTGCCAACCGATGCCGGAGTATATGGCGCAGATCCAGGGGCTGAAAAATTAACTTATTAAAATTGCATTCAAAAAACCAAAATAAGTACCTGTAAGCGATGATGGCCTCTGATCTCCAACCATAACAGTCTGACGGGGAGAACACAGCAGGTTCTGAATAGAGCCCGTCGACAACGGATTGTTGCCGAACGATGGAGTGGCCGGCGTGGCGGGACCCATTCGTGGCAAATCGGCGTTGCATGGTACGCTCACTGGCATCGGTGAGTTGTCCGCGATTTCCTAGAAAACCAAATTAAAATATGAATTGAAGAATCGCGGTTGGTACCTTCTTGACGATAATCTCGCTCTTGATTCGCTTGATGACGTGTTGTCCATCTTCAACAACCGGAGCAGCGGCGGTGTTTTGACGTTTTCGTCGGGTGTTCGGCTCCTGTTTGATCGCCATCAATTGCGAATCATCCCGGACCATCAGCTCATTATTGCGTCCGACGACAACCTCCAACGGAATCGCCGGATGCTGAGTTGCTTGCTGGACCATTTGATAAAGAAGGAAGTCATATTCGATGTCGGACATTTTGTAGAAGGTACTGAAAAAAATCGATTCCGTTTAGTTAATATCACGACAGATTAGAAACATACTGGCAATGAACGCATAAAAGACGTGTGAGTTGTGGATTCGCGGCTAGAAGATAGGTGAGATCAACACTTTTTGGACTAAGACAGAATTTGTGGCGAACAGGCAGAACCATACGCCGGTGTGACAACGGGCAAGTTAACGGAATCATTATTTGGCCATTCGTCGTTTTCTGAGCGAACGAAACTACTGAAAACATTCAATATGATGTGATGATGCTTCTTCAACAACGCCAACTTACAATTCATTCGAGAGTTGTAGATTCTCTGCTGCATCGGCATGCTAACAAGTGGCATCTCGAGACGATCGCGCAAATGAAGTTGCGCGTCATGAAGGTTTCGTCGAACCACAAGTTCAGCGGCCACCATAAACTTGGTCACCGAACCAGTGCATTGATAAGTTAGACTATTCTGTCCGATGACGCAAAATCGTTTGACGGAAACGTAGTTTATAGGCTTGTCAGCAGCCAAAACGGCTGTGCCGTTGAGAGCCACGGTGGCAGATGCTTGAAGTGGTTGGTCGGGTTCCAACACCCACACTGTGATCATAACCTCATAGTTGGGGTTTCTGAAAAAACCAATTAAGAAGAAATTAAGCTGCGACATCAGCAAAAATACCCATGCTCTTCTGGGGTAACATAGAAGTAAACTTGTGATGATTCCGTTGTAATTCTCTTTTCCTCAATCATTTGCCTTTCCACCATGAAAATAACCATTCTTTCGGGCGGTGCACACATACGACCATCGTTATTCACATAGCTCGGATGACCAGTAGGTGGTGGATGTTGAGGCGCTCCAAAAACCATCGGAGCACCAGCCCTCATCTAAAACGAATCTCACAGTTTTGTTGAAAGCCACAAATCGTTTCAAAATACCATTTGGTGGTTCTGATATGCTGGCGACGGATGCATTTGTCCGTATTGGTATCGCATCAATGGATGCGATTGTCCAGGAACTCTGAAAAAACAAGTTATTGAATTAACGACGAACTTGTAATGAAATCTCACTGGTTGACACCCATTGGCATCTGGTAGCCCATTTCACGCGGTTGTTGCTGCTGCTGTTGTACCTGCTGTTGCTGTTGAGCTAACATGTACCGCTGTTGATCATACATCGCCGCGTTTCCCTCCATTTGGGCGTATGGAACTGAAATTACGGGCTCGTTTCTAGAAAATTCTCTAGTTCTATCATCTCAACTTGAATTTTTCAATCACTAATCGAATTTCAAAAAAAAAATTATTTAATGGTTAATTGAACGAATAAGTAACGAAACAGAATTGAAAAAACGATGTTGCTACAAAAAAAATTAATAAGCCTACCATAAGGACCCATTGTTTCGTTGTATCCTGGCGCACCGGCTGACCCAGGATGATGGGAGGCGCCGGCGCCGTTATTCCACATAGGCGACCTGAAATCAAGAAAAACCATTATTGCTTTCGTTATTCGAAAAGTGCACGTCTCTTTTTAGCAGAGCAAGAGATGCATGAAACAAGACACAATAGAATTGGAAAAAAGCAAACGAGAAGCGGGGAGGAGAAGGGAGTGGCTGAAGGCGATTCGCGTATCACTGAGAATAACAACAACGCCATATTAATAACTCAATAATAATAATAATAATAATAACAATAACAATAATGCGAAGAAAACAACATATGCACAACATTGCGGCTGTGAATGTAGGAGGAGGAGGGGGAGGAGAGGAGCATCAACATCAGAAATCCACTTAGCACGTAGATGGAATAACCGTCGAACGAGAGACGAGGCAGCGCGGATGCGTCGCAAGACTATTGGAGGCGAAGAGGTGCAGAGTTGGCGTTCCGCAACCCAGACCTCACATCGCCGAGGCCCCCGGTACTCTACCGGACAACCCTGTGTCTCGTGTAATGGCATCTGGCCAAAAACGCACGCGGTTATTGTATCCCGATTGTTTTCGCCCGATGAATACGGACGGTGGCGGTTAAGGTTGTGATGATGGTCGTGGTGGCTTTTTTCGGGTGGCGAGGAAGCGAATCGTCGCGGACGACCGAATTATTGATTGCGACGAATGGGCATATATTGCGTCGACTAACAACCAGCCAAACAAGTCAAATCTCCTCATTAATAACCATGTTGCAAGGCTAAAAATGCGAAACTTCTGGGAATTTAAACTTCCAACCAAAATTCTAATCGGCAAGCAAGGCGAATTCCCAGAAATATTCAACTATATAAGATTCCTAATATATCATCTTTAGTGCAAAATTCCTCAAGAATACGCGCAAAGATGCGACAGTATCAAAGTGCTCTGGGACGCAAGTGCACAAAATTGGCCTCAATTCTAGACAACAAATGTTATTGGATATTGGCATTCGAATGGCAAGTTTACGTGCAAATTGGAAGCCTACGATCAGAATAGGAGACCGCTGAATGGAAGACACTAGAAGCGCATAATTCTAGCGAGCGTTGTGAGGCGAACCCATAGTGCAATACGCTTCTCGGAATCTAAGAGGGAAGGGCGAACACCTCGGCGACGGCAGCAGCACTCGCCTCTCTACACGAATGCCGTCATCATAATCAGCACCAAGGAAGGGCCTACACGAAGAGAAGCGGAGAGGCGCCATGCGTTAACACAGGAAAATAAAAAAAAACAGACACACACACACACATACACAGATATACCCGCACAAGCGCACAATACATACATACACATTCAAGATGAAGACATAACGAAAGGAAAAGGAGGCAGACGCACACGGCTCAGGAGCAATAAAGTGCACATTTACAACAAGCCGAAAAAAATTATACGCGAAGATGCCTGGGTGGATGCTGATGGTGATGGTGGTCGGGGCGAGGAACGACTAACATACATACACACACACACACGCACATACAAATATACACACATGCAAAAAAAGCGGGCGTGAGACCTAGGCATGCATGGAAGAAGACGAAGGGGAAGGAGGAAAAAGGCAGTGGTGTGTGCACGATGACTGTTAAAAGAGCTCGAGACGAACGAACGAGAGCGCTCTGCGCCCCCCGGTGCTTACCCGAAGAAGGTGCGCCGCAACGAGTGAAAGAGCAGCGAAGACGAAGAGGCGCAGAGTACTGAGTCCGCGGCACCACGAAACAAATCGGAGGAGCGAATGGCGCGGCGCCGTGATGAGGTGAAGACAACGAAGAAATAAAAAATCCGACTACGGTACATTTTTGACTACATTGCATGACGTCTTCCATATTTGTGTCGCTGACGACGCCATTTTTCACGAAACAATCGTCGACGAGATATTTTTGTTGTGAGTGGGTGGAAAGGGCGAACTGCCAAATTCGAGAAATCTTCAAAACTCAATAGAAGAAGAAAACGACGAAAAAAAAACAACACACGTTTGGGCATAAACAAAAGGAAAGAACCAAGCGACATGTTTTGCTATACAGAATGAATTTTGCATTAACGAAAAGAAATTCGGCGACACAAAAAAGTCGAGTTGAAAGGATTCCGAGAAAACTCGACAAATGAAGAGAGAACCGCAACTTTAACCACCCAATTATTCTAACTCAAAATGATTTTAAAAACTGGTTTTTTTTTGGAAAATTCCCATGAAAGAGACAGAAAATTTGGATAATTCGGTAGCCTTTGAAAAAAAAAGAACTTATGTCACCTTAATATCCTATTCAATTGGGGCAAAAATTGCACATGACACAAAAAATGTTTGGGAAAATTCCACCAAAAAAATTGAAATTTGATATTCGCGCTGACTCGACTCCAAACGAAGCTTGAAACGACGAGAACCGCGATGACCAAATTTCTCGAAAAACCACCAATCTAATAGTATGCGTTCATGATGAGGCGAAACATCGAGGTTTATGATGTGCAATTAGACAAAACCTCTCCGAATTTGGAACATGATCAATAAACCGCAGACGACGAAACGACGAAACGACAAATGTATGTCCTGCGTGCATATTCCTCTATGCGCTTGCCCTTTCTTTTCTTTTTTTTGGTTCAAACCCTCGAGCCCACGCTGCCGCCTACGGTAGTGATAGAGGTTTTTCGTGGCAATCGTAATTTAATTTCGATTGTTTGCCGCTCCGATAGTTGATAATACGCCCGCCTATTCATTTATTGGGTACCTGGTGGATCCAATCACGAATGATCAGAGATTAAAGAAATTACCGTAGTCGGGCAAAAAAAAACAGCGGAAGTTGGGGAAATATCAGTAAGTACTATGCAGTCTAGAGCATTTCGTCGCGAAAATTCATATGACAAGACTTGTTATTCGTTTTTTTTTAATTTCAAAAGGTCAATTGGCCGACTTTTACATTATTGCGGCCGAGAACCCCAAAAAGAAAAATGTGACGGCTTCCACCAAAATGTACAGAAAATAAGTAGTATGGCCCTAACGTTAATATGTAGTATACGGTCATAAATACATAATTAGAATGGCAATTTAAAGGATTGTCAAATATCGCCGAAAAGTTCATATTTTATTTCATTTTTCATGATTTGATGTATTTCAAAGCGTTTGAATTTCAAAAATGAAACCAGAGAATATATGTAAAGATATATCTTCAGACTTCAACGATTTGATTTTTTTAAAGGCAACATTTTAATTTAAGAACAAAAACCACTCTAAACTTTCATTTTTTTTTGGTGAACGCCACATTATTTCCGAAGAAAATCGGCGTCTATGAAAAATGAGAGAAAAAAATAGTATCAATAATTTTTGGCGAAGCTTATATCAGGAGCTTATCAAACAGTAAACGTCAAATTGAAAGCTGATAACAGGAACTTTCACGATATCGATCGTTAGTATTTCATGTGTTCAGCCAAACATTCGAACCAAAGTCGATTATTAAGATGACCTTTTGTGGCACACATTATATTCGCTGCGTCTCTCGGCTCTCATCATACCAAGTGCGAAAAACTACGAAGAAGACAAATAGAATATGCAGGATGAGAAAAAAAACTACTGTTTTCGAGTTCCGCAGACAAATTCAATGTGAATGTCATCACAAAGGGGATCGACTCTTAACGCACAAGACAAGAAGGGAGCCACCAAAACTGAACACACGAGACTCCTAAAACGAGGTGTCTCTGCGGAGTATATGGTGAGAGTAGTAAGATAGACATACGAGGGTTGTTGTGTTGCTGCTGAAAGTGCACCAGCCGTCCGTCTCAGAGCCAGCGGCAGCTCCACCCCTCACTTGTCGTGTTCCGAGAGCATGGAATAGGTGAACAGCTGGAGACAACAACGAAAGAGAGAAGAGAGTGAAAACAACAATAACAACAACAAATAAGGCGCACAATTTTCGACTCACCCATCATTGATATTGCTGTTCTCGAAAAGCATTGGTTGAATTTGGTTGGGTGCGATGGGGACGGCGACCGGAACTGGACCAGCGGCAGCGGCAGTTGCAGTAGCCGTCGACCTCGCAGGTGCACGTCGTCGCTTGCCACCGTTCTTCTTAAGCCGCCGCAGTTGTTCGTGCCATCGGCTGATTCTTGCTGAAACGAGATTTTTGGTTGTCGTTGCCAAAAAAAATATGTGAAAACGCTTGCGAAGAGCAAAAAATAAATATAACGCGTTCTTCTTTTTCTTCGCTACTACTCAAATATTCGTCCGAGCCATTCAATGACTACTAGTCATTGAGGTAATCGCAACAAGAAAATGTGCGATCATCAGAAACCAAGCATTGCGGATTTTTTCGCCAAAAAAAACATTTGAAAAAACTATGTAAGTTATGAGAAACAAATATATTTTGAATGGTTGCTTATTTGAATTAAAATATTAAATGAAAACTGATTGAAATACAAAATTAGGCGAACAAACGTGGTCCTTTTTCCATACGAGACCCACGAATTAAATTCAATTTTTCAAATGCCAATTTCAATTCTTCTAATAACGATAGCCGACAGTCAACTGTCACCAATATTAATTTTAATTCTTAACATTATTTTTGATTTTGGTGCAATTTTTAATTCAGTTTTTTTGTAAAAAATTCAGTGGAAATGCTGAACAATATACATATATTTGAAATTAATAAGAAAGGATCCCCTTGATTGTTTAAATTCTCTCTAAAAATTATTTATTTGTTCCACCTTTATCCCTTAATTGGTAACAACAATAAGCACATCAAATTCAATTATTTCGCGCGTTTTCAATTTATTTCGGGCGGATTTACTTGTCTGCGCAAATTTCTCGAAGCGAGTGTTTAATTTCTGGGCTCAAGTTATGAGTAAATAGCAATTATCTTCTTTTCAATAACCGAAAGCCATTAGTTTCTCGAAATTTTATAATAAATTATAGATTAATAGAAATACGAGTGAGTTAGAGATACTGCTGTATGGAAGAATACGAGAAACGTTCGATCTCAACAAAATCTTAAAGTCATCTCCTCAAACATAAAAAATATTAAAATATCTCTTTCCAAAGTTAAAATTATTTTCTTTTCGGTTCTATGCAGATTTTGCAAACTAGTTTTTTTTTAGTTTTTCGAGTTTTCTTCCTAAAAATCAGCATAATTTTTAGATGTAAAAGGGAAGAATTCTAAAGTGCACTGCGTTCAAGTGGAAGTGTCTAATTTGTCAATTAGCGGCAAACAAGAACTCAAGATGTTTCCGAAATTTTTGCACTCTTCCCAATGTTGAATATTGGAAATTTCAGGGGGAGTGGGGTGGGGAAACTCTGAGCATACTTGCTGAAGGCTTCGAGAGATGTTTGCGATGCTGGAAACAAGTTGTCATGAGCTGTTGGGTCAGATCAAAATTGCCCGTTTCTTTTGTGCCGTGCTCCATCGCGTCCTACAATTAGAATTAACACCGATTGAAATTGGTCGCTTTAAAATATACCTGAAGGCTTAAAAGAAGATTCTCTTCGTACTGGGGTGTAAATGCTCGTTGGTCTGAACACCACCTAGTGAGCTCCAAGCAAGCAGTGGTGAAGGTCTCAGGCACGGAAAGCTGCTGAAATAAATCACCTGTTCGGTGTGCTATAAATTTTCAAAAAATCTCAACAGGTACGCTGAAAAGTTTCAGTTTCGTCTATTTTTTTTTGAAAATGTGACATATTGTAACATTATTAAGATAAAATTAGATGAAACATGAACAGTAAACGAATCATTCTCTCACAACTTTTGAATGTTGAAATGTGGAAACCGACATTACCCGAAACTAATAAAAGCGGCATCGCCTTTTAACGTTGTTCTCATTCATCTTTAAACGTACTACATATTAAAGTTTTACGGTTGAGAATATTCTGTAAGATTTTTGAGAAGATAGTTAAATAAGTGGTTTTAGTCTGCTTCCGAAATATGAACTTTAACTACGAATATTTTATTTCGCAATTTCATGTTATATTCCAACACAGTAATTTTTTAAATTTTTCTTGAAAAATAAAAATTCTCAACTTTTACGATATTTACAATTTCACAAATATTTTGAAAATTGCAATTAAAGGCGCGCGCTGTTCTTATAGCTGGGTCTCGAGAGTCACATTTTCTTCAAAAACAGAACTTTTAAATAGCAATCATTTTTTGCTTATTTTTTAAATTTAGATACGTAAAAAATGAGAAAAAATTATTTTCAAATGTTGTTTGAAAACTTCTAGCACGATAGTATACTGTAGTGATCATTTAAAGTAGAAAACGAGCTAAAACCTACATCAACATCGACCGTAAAATTTGAGCTCAATATTAAACAAACCATGCCGTAAAATGGAAATGTCACTGTCTCTCAAAATCACGCACACTTTTTACCGGCTCGGAATTTTTTTTAAATTTTATGATTAATACTAGGACATAGAAATTACCGTAGCTAATTGAGAAATCTGATAATTATAATTAAAACAAATTTTCTCAAAAAAAATTAAAAAGTGTTTAACAAAACTTTTTTGATCAAAGACACAATGTTTTGACTCTAATTTGGACTGATTGAACTCGTCTGAGTTTAAAACGGAAATTAGTACTTGTGCGTTATTCACATGGATATTGGATAGAAGAATACATAAAAATAAATAAATTAAAACACTTTACGTCATCGTAATCTAAACGACCAAATTCAATTTAAAAAATGGAGATTCATTTAATATTGTAACTCTAGCAATACTTCATCGAATCAGACGATCTCTCAATATTGTCAAACAACGAAAAACATTTTGAGGTAATTGGACAGTCTAATATCTACAAAAAAAAAATAAACATAACCAACCTCGCGAATTGAATAGAGTCTTGAAATGGTGAACGAGACATGATCGCCGTAGACTTCACCCATTTGAATGGGCGGTAGTGCTCCAACGGAAGCACAAATTTTGATTGCGGATTACCTGTAAATAATTTGTTAGCACGCAATTTGTAATCAGATGAAATCAAAAACGCGAAAAAAAAAACAATTTCCGGAAAACACGTGAGACGGCGGGCGCGGCTCAACGATCGTCTGCTCGCGCACCCGCAAATTGTGACGCCCGAATAACCGGAACACGACGACAAATATATTGGAAAGCGATGAGGAAATATACAGTCACTGTGTGTGTGTGTGTGTGTGTGCATGACGGGTGATGGTATTTCTCGCGGCAGCCGTATGGTTCAAATAATACATAATTTTGCCAAGGAAAAAAAACAAACACAAGTTTTTAATTCAAATGTTTCAAATGGGTGTGTAAACATGAATCTCGAATACATATAAAAAAATATATTAATCAAATGAAATGAAAATTAAAGATTGAAACGCCTAAGGTATCTTATGAACAATTCCTTTATAGATTCTTCGCCTTATCGGCGCCTTATGCTGATTATCATAACAAAAATCAATTTCGAAAAATGTACCATTTTCATTGCACGGCCAAAAATCGAAACAATTCCTTCAATGAACTACACTTAGGTCGGATTTCACGTGACTTGGACGAATCCCAAAATGAGAAATAGCGGATAGATGGCAAACAAGGTCGCGTGGGCACTAATTTATGTTCAAATTTTCATTGTGTTTCAAACTAAATACAAATCGTTTCGTTTTATTTTGAAAGAAATTTTCATTAATATGTATAAACTCCATAAAAATCAATGATCTTGTGCATTCTGTTATCTCGCAACAAAGCAGCGTTCCGAAAACTGATAACGAAAATATTTGAGATAATTCATTCACGCTGAATTTTTAAATGAAGCGTAGAAACTATAGAACATTTTGAAAACGTTTATGGATTGCCAAAAAAAGGAGAAACTTGTAGTTTGCTAAGAAATGTGTGAAATAGGAAGTGTTATAAAGATAACATTGATCATATTATCATGAAAGTGTGTCTTTCCCCCTTCAAACAACGCCTTTTACGGGCATTTTTTTTATTAGACAACTATATTTCTATTCGTAGGCCAAATAATGTTTGGACTCGAAATGAGCTCATAAAATCGAGTTTGAGACATCCTGAGTGCCATTAATGAGAATTGGAAACGACCCAACGACTACTGTAATAGAAAAACGAATGAGAAGAAAAGGGGTGGGTGCCGCTGATGGTGTCAGCAAATGGACGGATCTACAGCGGTCGGCTCTTTTATGGTCCCGCCAGGAGGCGGGGAATTTTTATGAGGTGAAATTGGTGACGGAAGGGCTCCTATATGGTAGAAAGTGGGTGTATAAATGGAAATCTCGACGAAAAATGAAATGCGACCGAAAAACACCAATTGACACCAACGCATTAATTGGACATTTTCGGGCATGTTGTGAAGGATGAATTTTCAAAATAAATATTTTTCACCTCCAAATTTTATTTCTGTCGGCAAAAATGAAACGTTGCTTTATGGATCTATTCAGCGTTTACTTTTGTCATTTTTACCCAGTGCAAACACGTTAAATTTGGGGCAAAAATGACTATCTCGACCGTTTTTCTTGGCACTGAATAGATCTATTAAAGCACATAAATTCACAGTTTGATAAAGAAAGGAAACCAATCAAAAACTATAGTGATTTGAAAAAGTTGTAGACTTCGACCTTCAAATTGTTCATAAAATGCTTTACAGAATAAAATGACAAACAGACAACTTCAATAATTGAAACATCTTTTAGGTGGAAAAAAGCGGAAGAAATTCTGGATTATGAAGTGAACAAACAAAAAATATCTAGCCATTTTCTTGTGCCATTTATCAAATAGTACAACCGAGATGTAATCTTTTTCTCCGAAATGGTAAGCAACGAACATGCGCTGGGAATGTCGATGGATGAATTAATCAACAAAATTCGTACCATTAGAACAACATCAATACTAATAATAATAATAATAAAACATACATATTCAAGGGGGAAATAATCAGCATTTGGAAACAAAGAAACGCGCGTGGACGTCGGCGGCGGTGAAAAGCCGAGGGACAAGAGGAAGGAAGAAGCACAGAAAAAATCGTTCTTCTTCTTTCTTTTTTTATCTTTGTTTTGAAAGATGGCGTGGATTTGCAACGAATAATGCCGTCCGCAATATTATGTATTTACACCAACAATCATTGGCGCAACATTGGCGCAGTTGTTCACCCATCTGGTGTAACTCGTTAGCCCCACACAAAATCGATAATGGTGGCGGTGGTGGCGGTTGCAGAGGGGCGGTGCTGGTGGTGGCGGACGATGAAGAAGAGGGCAATGGCGAACGAAAGAGAGGCAGAGGGCACACCAAATTCGCAAAAATGACCAAACTCTATCCAATTAGGATGTGCAGAAAATCAAATTAGCTCAAATTTTTAAATAATTAACATCAAATTATTAAACATTTCGATATAGGAATATCTTCAAAAAATTGGAAATTAAAAAAAATTTCTATAAAATATATTTTTTAAAAAACTTTGCAATAGATGTTCCACCATCCAATTAACTTCTTTTTTTAATTGTCTCCAACGATATAAATATAATGAAACTTCTATAATTCTCTATCTCATTTACCAATAAATGGAAGTTGTGCTGGCTTCAAGCTTCCAACTTCGATAAAATGAATTTGCTAGACTAGAAACGAAATGTTTGAAGCTGAAACTTTGAAAGAGTAATTATGATCAACACCTGCAACACTAAAAATACAAAGAAGTTCACCCAATTTCAGGTGGCGTCATTAAACTACGGTAATTCCACAAACCTCCATATAATTTAACGAAAAAAAAAAAACACTAAAAATTCAGCTTGAACCCATATAATCTTTTGAAACATTCGTGTTTGAACATTGATGGTTAGAAAAAAGAACTGCTTCAATCTACAAGAATTGACTTTGGCGCAAATCTTTGTTTTAAAATCGTTTTCAAACTAATCCCCTTTTTTGCCTTATAAGCGTCCCATAAAATTTTCCATCTATCAATTTCGATAAATGAGCTCGACTTAAATGAGATTCGCATATGTAAACAACAACGCTACATATATACGGTAGTGGAGGACAATTGAATGACGCAAAAATTCATATTGTTTCGACTAAAACGCATCGGACGAGGCGTCACGAGGAGGCGAATATAATTGGTTGCTCATAAAAAAATCAAAACGTTCGCTGGCTGCATTCAAGCAAAGCGTGGACCAATTATTTAATGGACTCGCGTTTGAAGAGGGAGTAGCAGAAAAGTTCAGAAAAGTGACCTTGATCGAGAGAAACCCAACGATTACTGAATATCACACATTTCAATTGCGAACGGCAAAACGAATTGTTTTAAACATATTAAAATTTTGAGAGATAAAATGAGACAAACTCATGAGAAGTATTCTTTTTGTATTTAAGTAGCGCATCTAGGGAATCAGAATGACCCCCAAGAAAGAAATAGGGCAAAACAATAGCACGAAAAAATACGCATGCTCGTAAATCCTACAGTCGCCGACGACTGTATATACAAATTGCTATCTCTCCTATAGATTTTGTCATGCAGATTTCAATGCAAGTCGTTTTATTTTGAACTATCACCAAAACTTTCAAATTATCTGCGACAGACACGCCGTACGATATTATGTAAATGATAGTTGGCAAATAGAAGCTTCTCATTCAATCTGATTCGATCTTGATTGTCACGTGTAATTGAATTACGTCATCAGACTACATCCGATCGCTAGTTGAAAAAGGAAAAAAACGGACTCTTCATAACAGCGCCATAAAATCGTGTTGTTGCTCACGCCATAAATGGGATTGTTCTTGTTTGATGGGGTGTAGCTTTAGATAGTGCTTGTGTGTGAGAAGTAGAGAGGGAAGCATGTCCGAACAAAAAATGATAATGTCCACAATTATTGCTATTGTTGTGCCGATTTTTCGAATTTGATTAATTGCACGCGTTTTCAGAAGTGAAGCGTACTCTGATCGGCCCACGAACAAACCAGTTTCCTATTGGCTTCCAGATGAAAAAAAATAATAATAAGTGATTTTGAAAAAGAGAAAAATGCAATAAAAATTCGCTCGCCTTGGGTTTTCGTACAACATGAAAACATTTTTTGAGTGAAGAGATGTCGAAAACCACATAAACGATACACATAAACCATAATAACGAATTAAATCATCGCATTCAAAACACGAACATTTCCATTAAAGGAGAGCACACTTCAATGACAATTTAATGGTCTTCTTGATGGTCTTAAGCAATTCATATGAAATCAAATTAGACAGTGGGGCTCCTCCTTTTCTTAAACACCACACATATTATTTGATATCGCCGTTCCTGGCAGAAACCTGCCACATTAGGAAACTTGATACAAGTGGGGCATCAATTGACCGATAATCAATTCGTAAACATCACTCTTTTAAAAGTTGTTAATAATCAGACATAAATTCTTCCTTGTCTGCGGACATCTTGTCGGGTAAAAACAACCCTAGCGGATTTTTCTAAAACGAGGGGCATCACAAATCGTAAAAACGAAAGTGACATATTGCAACCAGTATAAACATTTGTACGGGTCAAGGCAGATTACTAACATCTGCTCGTAACACACTTTTTGCACTATTTTGAAAGATGTTTGTCAAGATTTTATGGATTACCGTGTCCAACTAAAAAAAAAGAAAGTTTAACATAGCTGTTTATTTGAAATAATTTAAGGAACTGAAATAAACAATAAAGATTCAAGTTTAAAAAAAAGAAAAGGAAAAATAAGCAATAAAAAATATACTAGTGAGGAGATTCAAGTGGGTCTGGTTTGAACATTATCATAAGAAGTTTTTAAACAAAAATTTCAGCAAGAATCAAAAAGCTCAAACTCAAACTTATTCTGGCTTTGTACTTACTTATAGGCCTTTTTATTAGTATATGAACAAAATTCTGAACACCGATTGTTTTTTGTGCCCAAATAGAAAG